GACAAACAGACAGACACCAGAGCCTCCTCAGACTTTCCCTCTCCGACTTAAGTATCCGTCAGAACTCACGCCGTTTAATTGCAAACGAAACACATCCTCCGCACAAAGCCGCCCTTTCAAAGCCCTGAATGCTGTTTATTTCCGGTGTTCCCGCAGTCTTCCTCCCGGCAACTCGTCGCCGCCTCGCTGAGCCACTCAGCCTAACTTCTTTGTGTCGAATTCAGTTGTGCCTTTTGTGTCATCACGCATGGGTTACTTTGAGGAGCCATGACCGCCCACATAGTTCCCAGATTTGACCGCTCGCTGCCATTTACGTACCCACACTTTCGGTCCGAGTTGTTAGTGCCCGTATCACCAGCGTCCTCCGGCCAGTCGAAATCAATTACCGTCCTCATCAACAGTCTCCAAGATGTTTTTATTATTCAGAGGTCGTAACTTAGCGAGGGGCTCGTAAAAAGTGGCAATAATTTTTCGGTTTCGGCCCGGCCATGGGCTAAAGTAAAACAAAACCGGATGAGAGGGCGGGGTAGCAGTCGACCTACTCGGAATTGGCTTTACGGGCCGATTGTCGGCTTTTAAAATCCCCAAATCCGACCGAACTCAATCATCAATAGACCGACTGGGTGTTTGTTGAACACGTTTTGGGTTATTTATTTGGCGGGCCGGCGGGGACGGGAAGACAATCGGGGTGCGGCGGGTTGGGACGGGCACGCGTTTATGGTACAGGTACGAGGGGGAATCAGAAACAGATTTTGACTACTTAGTTGTTGTTTCTCGCTTCGGTGTTTAGTCCTTCTGGGTACCCCTCGTATACACTAATAAGCGAACAAGGCGCTCAATAACGACGGCACATGTGTTACAAAAATGCCGGGTCTTCTTGGTGGCCTCTCTTGTCACAAGTTTTTGTTTATCTGCAGGAAGCACCCGTAAATAAATAAAGCTTCCGGTCATTTTTTTCTTGTGTGATTTATTGGAGTGGTTTAGGGTGATTTCTTCAGTAAATGGGATTGTAGTGGCAGTAAATCTCTGATAGTGATAACTCTAATCTATGTTGCTGATAAAAGACAGACCTGATTTAAATTTCCATTGAACGCCAAAAACGGGAATTAGATTTTTTGAAATGAAAAATATGTAAAAAAATAGGGACAAAATTTTTAAGCTTATTCCGAAAATTGCCTGAAAATCCACAAAAAATCATACTTATTTATAGGAATGATGGCTTTATTAAGGAAAATAATCGCAAGTTAATATGATGACTGGTTCACGAAATATACTTTTTTAAAGTAAAATTTTTAAAATATCTCAAAAATTGCTATATTTCATTTTGGAAATTTTGGAAAAATGGTAGAAATTTTTGAATAACTGAAGGCTTAGTTGACTTCACAGGATCGAAATCGACAAAAAAATCTTGTTTGTTAAATTTCGAAAAAGCTCGTGAAAAGCTCCAAAATTTTGTAAGTTATGAAAACATTGATCTTATCCCAAACTTGTCTAAAAATTCATAAAAAATTCTGGGAGATACATTTCGAGGAGCTGAATCCAAATATATCGCGTGTTGAAGGTACCGGTCCAAGATTGAGGGCTATCATTGAAAATTTCGGATTAATCGTGGCATTTTTGTTAAGTATGTATTTAGTGCGATTCCGGAAAAACTGGACGTCCAAAAATTATGAAAAAAATCATGCTTACGCACGAATGATGGATTTATTACGAAAAATAATTTCAAGTGGATACGATGACTCACTTTCGATATATGCTTTTTTGAATTAAATGTTTTTTTAAATACTCGTATCTCAAAAACTGCTGTATTTTACATATTTTGAAAATTTTGGAAAAATGGTAGAAATTTTCGAACAACTGAAGGCTTAGTTGACTTCACAGGATCGAAATCAACAAAAAAATCTTGTTTGTTAAATTTCGAAAAAGCTCGTGAAAAGCTCCAAAATTTCGTAAGTTATGAAAACATTGATTTTATCCCAAACTTGTCTAAAAATTCATAAAAAATTCTGGGAGATACATTCCGAGGAGCTGAATCCAAAAATATCGCGTGTTGAAGGTACCGGTCCAAGATTGAGGGCTAGCATTGAAAATTTCGGATTAATCGTGGCATTTTTGTTAAGTATGTATTTAGTGCGATTCCGGAAAAACTGGATGTCCAAAAATTATGAAAAAAATCATGCTTACGCACGAATGATGGATTTATTACGAAAAATAATTTCAAATCGATACGATGACTGGCTTTCGAAATATGCTTTTTTGAATTAAAATTTTTAAAATATCTCAAACTGCTAGACTTTATTTTGGAAATTTTGGAAAAATGGTAGAAAGTTTTGAAAAACTGAAGACGTAGTTGACTTCACAGGATTGAAATCGACAAAAAAATTTTGTTTGTTAAGATTCTAAAAAGCTCGAAAAAAAGTCCAAAATTTTGTAAAGTATAGAAAAATTGATCTTTTTCCGAAATTGTCTAAAAATCCATAAAAAATTCTTGGGGATACATTTGGACGAGCTGAATCCAAAAACATGATCTGTTGATTCCAGGATTGAGGACTATTATTGAAAAATCCTGACTAATCCTAGCATTTTTGTTAATGATGTATTCAGCGCGATTCCGGAAAAACTGGAAGTACAAAAATTATGAAAAAAATCATGCTTACGTAGGAATGGCGGTTTTATTAAGGAAAATAATCCGAAGTTGATACGATGACTGGTTCTGGAAATATGTTTCATCAAAGTCAAATTTTTAAAAAAATTCAAAAATGGCTATAGATATTTCATTTTGGAAATTTTGGAAAACTGGTAGGAATTTTAGAAGAACTGAAGGCAGATTGGATTTCACGAGATCGAGATCAACAAATAAATATTCTTTGTCAAATTTCGAAGAGCTCCAGAAAAGGGCAAAATTTCGTAAATTTTTGAAAAACGGATCTTATTCCGAAATTGACTAAAAATTCAAAAAAAGTTCCGGAAGGTACATTTTAACGACCTGAATCCAAAAATTTACCGTGTTAACAGTCCCGATACAAGATTGAGAACCATTATCGAAAAATCCGGAGTAATCGTGGTATTTTTGTGAAGGATGTATTTAGGGCGATTCCGGAAAAACTGGAAATACAAAAATTATGAAAAAAATCATGCTTATGCAAGAATGAACATTTTATTAAGGAAAATAGTTCCAAGTCGGTACGACGACTGGTTTTCGAAATACATTTTTTTAAACTAAAATTTTTAAAATATCTCAAAAATTGGTATATTTCATTTTGGAAATTTTGGAAAAATGATAGAAAGTTTTGAAAAACTGATGACGTAGTTGACTTCACAGGGTTGGAATCAACAAAAAAATGTTGTTTATTAAGTTTCCAAAAAGCTCGAGAAAGAGTCCAAAATTTCGTAAAATATGCAAAAATTGATCTTTTTCCGAAATTGTCTAAAAATCCATAAAAAATTCTTGGAGATACATTTGGACGAGCTGAATCCAAAAACATGACCTGTTGATGGTCCCGGTCCAGGATTGAGGACTATTATTGAAAAATCCTGACTAATCCTAGCATTTTTGTTAATGATGTATTTAGCGCGATTCCGGAAAAACTGGAAGCACAAAAATTATGAAAAAAATCATGCTTACGCAGGAATGGCGGTTTTATGAAGGAAAATAATCCGAAGTTGATACGATGACTGATTCTGGAAATATGTTTCATCAAAGTCAAATTTTTTAAAGTACTTCAAAAATTGCTATATTTCATTTTGGAAATTTTGAAAAAATGGTAGGAATTTTAGAAGAACTGAAGGCAGATTTGATTTCACGAGATCGAAATCAACAAAAAAATATTGTTTGGCAAATTTCGAAAAATTGCGAGAAAACGTCCAAAATTTCATAAGGTTTTGAAAAATTGATCTTATTCCGAAATTGCCCAAAAATACAAAAAAATTCTGGGAGGTACATTTTGATGAGCTGAATCCAAAAATATATCGTGTTAATGGTTCCGGTAGAAAAATGATGGTTATAATCGAAAAGTCCGGAATAATCGTGGCATTTTTGTTAAAGACGTATTTAACGCGATTCCGGAAAAATTTGGAGTCCAAAAATTATGAAAAAAATCATGTTTACGCAGGAATGATGACTTTATTAAGAAAAATAATACCAAGTCGATAGGATGACTGGTTCTCGAAATATAATTTTTTTAAATAACATTTTTAAAATATCTCAAAAATTGCTATATTTCATTTTGGAAATGGTAGGAATTTTCGAAAAACTGAAGACGCAGTTGACTTTACGGGACCCAAATCAACAACAAAATCTTGTTTGTAAGTTCCGAAAAAGCTCGAGAAAAGGTGGAAAAATTCATCTTATCTAAGAATTTTCACAACCACCATTTTTCAAAGCTCACGAGAGAGTTGAAGGTTCTAATAATTGGAAACTAATTTGGAACAAATAAAAATTCTGGCAATCTAGTCGACTGAGAAATCATGACTTAAGTAGAGCGGCGCCATCTGTGAACGGGAAGCAAAAGTTCGTTAAGAGAACTGTTTGAAATTGTTTCTTGTGATAATTCGAATTCGCGGCTTATTTTTCAATAAAAAACGTTAATCACGTGTCGAAATGACGTCGTTAACTTCTGGACACATAAACCAAACTAAAATAAACTGACCAATCCGGGCCGAGTTTCTCCTAAATGTTGCAAATTCTACACCCACGAGTCGCCGCTGTTGTCCACGATGCACGAATTTTATGAATCGCTTTATCAACCTTGAATAATATTCATTAATATTTTTCTATTCTATTAATAGTTTCACGCTCATCACTACACTTCTTTAAATGGAAAGACCACTTTTTCTACGATTATTCTAATACAATCCCGTAGAGTACAACAGTTCATCACACTTCCATGTGTACACATTGCAACATCGAAACAATAAAAACCCAGATAATATCATTAAGAAATATGTAGACAGGAATTGTCCTCTTCCTGTTGCAAAATCTCTCTGATACCAGTACGGTAAATATTTTTCAAACGTGATTCACAGAAATATTTCACCCTGCGGCCATCTGCTCGGTTTGCAACGCCACTTCACAGAACTGAAGACGTCTCTATAATAAAATCGTTTCCACATTTCGAGGCTCTCGCTGAATTATTAAAACCGTGTCAGAGCGGACGCCGATACTCAGTCATTGTTTTCTGATCATTCCAATCAGACATTAATATGATTGCGGGTCACTCGGTAATTATAAGTGTGTTCATTTTGAGATTCAGCGTGAGCGGATTTCCAGTGAATCCGCCTGAAAATGCCAAAGTACCGTCTCCGAAAGTGGTAAGTTATGATTTTTGGAAAAATCGTACTATTAGTTGTAATTTTTCTATCAAAAACAAAAATGCAGAAATGTATGTACCCAAATATGAATATAAATGTGTTTACGGTACTCTCGTCACCTTCAGAATTGATAATCGTAAAAATGGCATTTCAATTGTGTTCGAGTCATTTTTAGTACTTATGGAATCAAAATACTATACAAAGTATTTCAGCTGGACTTTTTGAAAAAATTCGGGTACATAGAAGAAGACGACGCCAATTCTGGTGCTCTGTACACCGAAACCGGGATCTCCGAGACTCTCAAAATCGTCCAGAGATACGGCGCTATTGAGGAAACCGGAGTCCTAGACAACGCCACCCTTCACTTAATGTCGTCCCCTCGATGTGGTGTCCGCGACATCGTTAAACCCAAACGGGGCAAACGATACGTCCTGGGTTCCGAAGGCTGGGACAAACGAACCATAACTTACTTGTAAGGACCCCACACAGTCCACACACCCATATTTTTCTAAAATGGTCATTCCAGTATAGCTAATTGGTCACCCAAACTGGGTGAAGACTCCGTCACCAAGAACATCCAACTAGCGTTGGACACGTGGGGCAAATACGGTCACTTGAGGTTCCAAAAAGCGGCTACTCCAGACGCCGACATAATTGTGGCTTTCGGGAGTAGCTACCATGGTGATAGGTACCCGTTCGATGGGCCTGGGAATATCCTAGCACACGCGTTTTTTCCAAATGAGGATCAAGGTTTCGGGGGGGATATACATTTCGATGCTGACGAAGAGTGGAAGGATGGGTGGAAAGAAGAGGATGAGGAAGGAATGGACTTTTTGACTGTGGCGGTCCATGAACTGGGGCATTCGTTGGGTTTGTCGCACTCAATTGACTTGAATTCGGTCATGTTTCCCTATTATCGGAGGAATGAAATCGGGGGGTTGCCCCAACTCGGGTACGACGATATTCTAGGAATGTATGAACTATATAGTAAGTGGTGGTACTAAAAGTACTCGTGTCTAACTAATACTGGTTTCAGTTCGTAGAAACATTAAGGATGACAACTACATTCCGACGACGGATGACGGTGGATTTGAAACAACCACCACGTCTAGTACGAGTCGTACCACACATGACCCTAGTACTACTAGTGAAACTAGCACTGAAACCACAACAGAACCACAGTACACCACTAACTTTGGAAACGACAATTCAACCTCGATTCTGTATACCGGCGACGACGAATCCGTAGACATTCACCGGTACCACGACCCTAAACACACCATACCATCCACCAATTCCCCGAGTTTACCCTACATATGCCACGGTCGCTTCGACGCAGTGGCGGTACTAAGACAAGAAATCTTCATTTTTAAAGAACGGGTACTTCTGCAAAATCACGAAAAACTAAACTAAATTTTTCGTTTTAGTATGTTTGGAGACTGAAGGATTTGGGTAAGGTAGACCCCGGATACCCACTTTTGATTACCCAAATGTTCCCCGATCTTCCGACTTCCATCGATCAAATAGACGCCGCGTATGAGAGACCAGATGGGATGATCGTGTTGTTCACCGGGGACATGTTTTGGGTCTACGATGGTAAAAGTTTCGTGGAAAATAGCCCAAAACCACTTAGCTATTATGGGTTGCCGCCAAATATAGACAAAATCGATGCCGTTCAAAACTGGGCTAGAAATGGTAAGTCGAAACGTTCCAAGATAGTCCGAACACCCATTTTTTTCAGGTAAGACATACCTATACAAGCAAAACATATTCTGGAGGTACAACGAAACGGCACAAACTATGGATGAGGGTTACCCTATGGATATGCAGCGTTGGAAGGGGGTTCCACACAACCTGGACGCAGCTACAACCTGGAAAGGTATAACCTACTTCTTCAAAGACGAGTTATACTGGAAATTTGATAACCAATGGATTACCATTACCGACCAGTCGCCGCTACCATCACCCCAGTTGTGGCTGGGTTGTCCAGAAGACGAGCGATCTCTAGCCAGATTGTAAAACAAAAACTCTGTTTACGAATTCTTACAAAAATAAATTTATTGTGTTTACAATATTACTTTGGCAAAATTTTGTCGTATAGCAGTTTTAATTCATCCCAAAACACCAGACAGAGGACAGTGTGAGGACCCAGTCTTAAGTACATCGGGCCTACCCCTTTATAGAACGCCGAGAGACCTTCGGACTTAAAAATTTTGACCACACAGTCCAAGTAGTTGCCGTAGAGAATGCCTTTACCGTTGGCGTCCACAGCTGAAAACAACTTTAACGCTACTTAAGACACACGTTTTAGAAACTTACGTTGATTGTAAAGTCGGGTCATTATTAAATCGAAAGGTGTCATCATGACACTGATGGCCACACCCCCCACCATGCTACCGCACAATGACGTCAGTAGTGGCTTCCCAGAAAAAAACTCATACTGGTTTAGAAACTCCTTGCTATATTTGAACGACGTCAATTGGGAGACAGAACCGACGAAAGCCCTTGGAACTGAGCCCCCAGCACCACGAAACAGACCCTTAATCTAAAACAAAGCCACAATTAGTACTAGTACTAAAACTAACTTCGTTAGTATAAATAAAAGACAATTTTAAGACGACTTTTATTGGTTTATTGTGACTTACTCCGCTTTTAACAAAAATATTTTTAAGTGCACTCCACGTCCCCACGTGATTGTGTTGATACCCCACCGCTATAGCTTGGACCGCTTGAGCTTGCAGGTGCGTCTTTACCAGAAAAAACGGGCTAGCGAAGTACTGTCCGATCACTCCTCCAGCTCCCCCCACCAAGACGCTTTTATAAAAAACCAAGTTTCCGTTTTTGTCGGTTATGTACCCCTGATTTTCACCAAACTGGAATGTTCCTGTAGGAAGACCACGTTACTAATGTCACTTCACCCTAAAAGTACCCTGCCTAGTCTCATTCCGTTCATTATAAGTTGAACCCACAAGGCGGGGACCAAACCTTTCTGGAGAGCCAGGACCCCGTCATTTTTGGCCACCACGTACCCGGCGTGGAGGACGTTCCTGTAGTGGATCGTGTGTTGATTCTTGGCGCGAAGTTCCCCCTGGAGTTGTAAACGGGTCTTCAGGACTTCGAGGGGGTTCGTGAAAAAACAGGCCGCCATGGCGGCGGCGCCTGCTATCATGAAGTCCATGGGGGTGGGTCATGGGGAATTGCGACCTACAATACACACTGGTCACAAGACTACCAACACTTACAAGTTTTTCGAAAGTGCGTCAGTCCTTACTTAAGTAAAGTATGCGCAGTTTGAGCGCGGATTCGGTCCAGTTCAGGTGCACCGTTTCAAACTAAACTAAACCAAACAGTGAATTTGTGGTTCTGTGTGTTAACTGGTTTAAACAAGTCAATCGTGACAGAATAAGAAAGGTAAATACCTTTGTTGTGTGTTGTGTACATAGTTGTCATTGTTTAGTTCTAACAGAGATCTCTACTTACCTGCCTAAATTAGTTTGTACGTACACATATCACAAAAACTATCACTCCATACATATCACATTGTTTCTTTGACCACTCTCTCGATCGTTGTGTTGTCGTGTCATCGTCACTACTAGAGCAGAGTCCGATAACTATCGATTGCATAATCGCGACTTAGATAACCCACAATACACGTGTATTACGGGTTGCATAAAACACTAACCCCTTGTTCTCTATAAATTAAAGCCATCGCTTGCCACATATTTCGGTGTTGGTGTTGATGTCCCACAGCAATGGCTTCCGAAGACTGTGTCTGCAAATGCGTCTTTACTAGAAACACAGGACTGCAAGCTAACTGTCCAGCGACTCCTCCAACACCTCCAGCCAGAACACTCTTATAAAATACTGTATTGCCTTCTTTGTCCAACACGTAGCCTCCATCTTCCAGACTTTGGTATATACCTGGAGAGTTCAATTTTTTAAAAATACCACCACAACACACTAGAGTTAACCTAGTCGGACTCCGTTCATGATAAACTGCACCCACAAAGCCGGAGATAGACCCTTCTGGAGGGATAGAACGCCATCGTGTTTCACTATACTATAGGTGGCATGAAAGATGTTCCTGTAGTGGACTGCGTACTGACCCTTGGCGCGCAGTTCCCCTTGCAGTTGCATCCGAGTCTTCAGGACCTCCAAAGGGTTGGAGAAGAAACCAGCACCCACGGCTGCCACCCCAGCGATCACGAAATCCATTCGGGACACTAAATCAAACTATTGCATCATTATGTTAATTTGACGTTGTTTGTGCAGAAGAAGTCTGATTATCTTATCTTGTGTGTAATTGTGTTCGTGTTGAAAATCGAGATTGGCGTCATTGAAGGTCTTAATAGATTACAGAAGCAATTTGGTGGCTAAACATTTCAGGATAAAGACAATACGGTACTTACGGGGAGATTTTTTTCTAATATAACAATGAACTTTTCAACTTCGATTTGATCAGAATAATGAGGTAGCTGCTATTGTTGTTTTTATGTTAAATGTACCCATAAATACAATGTAATTAACGACCCTGCAGTAGATAAAGGTAATATATGTAATAATCACATTTCCATATCTATGTTTTATTATTCGAACTTGTACACTAAAAATGGCTCGATGTAATCGCAATGAGCCAGGTGGTATCATAAAATTCTAATGTTCTAAAGTCAATTCGGGATACTTTTAATTGTCACGTTTCGTATTTTAGGAAAGTTATTAAATGGATCATTTAGGTACGTAATCTGTATATCAGGATATTGTGTTTTTTATTTATACATTCTTAATAGAAAGCGTTGCATGATGGCCAGTGGCGGCGTAGCTCGTTTTGGTACCCAGGGCGGTCTACACATACTCAGAAAAAAAGACAAAATATAAGCCCCGCCCACCCACCCTATCGCTATTGTGATGAGTTTTTTATTTGCCGTGAACCAAGGGGGCGAAGCTTAACTGCAAAATCCTTATTTGTTGTTCATAGAATACTATGTATATTAAGAAAAAATTAAAGAAAAAGATTAAGCCCCACCCATGCCTGACCTGATCTAAACAGTAATGAAGTTGTTATTCTTTGCAAAATCCATATTTCCTTACAAAAATTTACCATTTTAAACGTGTTTTACGTTTCTAAGAATAAAAGAAATCATCACAATTCAGATGGGGCGGGTGGGCGGGGTAAATATTTTACCTTTTTTTCTTAATATACTTAGTATTCTTTGAACACGACACTAAAAAACATGGTTTTCATTTCTTGTAAAGAAATATGTACTTTGCAGTTAATCTCTGCCCTCTTGGTTTACGTCGAATAAAAAAAATCATCACAATGGAGACAGGGCGGGTGGGCGGGCTTACATTTTACCTTTTTGTTTTAATATGTGTAGACTTCTTTTCACAACATGAAACTTAAAACATAGAAATGAAAATTTGTATAAGGAAATATGGCTTTTGTAATAGGCTCCGCCCCATAATTGCAAAATGCATATTTCCTTGCAAAAATGTACCATTTTCACCATGTTCCAAGCTTCTTGTTGTGAAAAGATGACTTATATATATTAAGAAAAAAAAAACAAAATATAAGCCCCACCCACCCACCCTATCGCAATTCTGATGAATTTTTTTATGCGTCGTAAGCCAAGGGATGGAGTTTAATTGTAAAATCTTTATTTTTCTCAGCCACATTATTTTTACTTTACAAGCGTAAGTGAAGGAAGTATTGTAATCAAATCCGTCGGCTGACGCTCTACTTTTACATTTTCTCGACGTTTCATGACGCCTAGAGTACGAAGAAATAGGTCTCTTGTTTCGGTCTGTCTGTCTGCTGATAAAGCTGATTTTCGCAAAACACATACCCTCTAAGAAAAGAAAGGGAGGGTGGGCGGGGCTAGTACTTGCTAAGATAAGACTGACTTTGGCAGATGATATATTCTTTAAGAAAAGAAAGGGCGGGTGGGCGGGGCTAGTACCTGCTACGATAAAACTGACTTTGGCAAATGACATACCCTCTAAGAAACGAGAGGGTGGGTGGGCGGGGCTAGTACCTTCTAAAATAAGATCGATTTTGGCAATGGACGTATCCTGTAAGAAATTTAATTAAATTATTATAAGAAAAAACACTCAAGACTATTTCAGATTCGTAAAAAGTAAAACACTAAAAGCTCAAAAGATTTTTTCAAGTTCATTCAGCAACAAAACACCAAATTTAAATTTATCCGAAATTAAAACACTCACTTTTCGGACAGAAAAAATGTCTCTAACCGAAATTAACTAAATATTCTCTTTTTCGAGTAGAATTCGTCTATAAACTCTTCCAATTCTTCTAAAATTCTATCGAACTTTTGATTTCGTTCTGCAGTTCTAGCTCTACAAATAGATCAGAGGTCTATAATTTCAGATTTCTAGACAGAATTCTTCTAGAATAATCTCGAACCAAATTAATTACGCTCCCTGTTCAATTTTAACCCTGAAGGCGAAATTCCTCTATATCTATATAAAAAAGAATTTTTTGCTTTATTTTGTGTGTGATTTGATGTTTGACATTTGACATTATACAACAACACAAAAGGAAAACTAACCTCACCCACTCTGAATTTAATTGAGATGAAAACTGAACTCTGTATTGTCGGTGATTAGACCTACGCTTAAAAAAATTTCAAAGCTCGTCTATCACCTTTTTTTTCATCACTTATTTTATTGGTCATTGTTTTTTGAATTTCATTGGCTTATTTCATTTATTGTGAGATGAAAATTGAATTTTAGTTTATCAAATTGTCCAATTCTACGCTTAAAAAAAATCAAAGTGGCCGCACCCACCCACCCTGTTTTCTTTGTGATCATTCATTTTATTGGTGGAAAAGTGGATTTTATATTGAAAAACAGGAAAATCTAGACAAAAAAGGCAAAACTAACCCCACCCACCTGTGTTTTTTATTTTCATTGGCTTATTTATTTACTGAAACGAGAATTTAATTTTATTTTGTCAAGTGGTCGAATCTACGAATAAGAAAAGAGATAAAGCTGATTTTGGCAAATGACATAGCCTATAAGAAAAGGAAGGGAGGGTGGGCGGGGCTAGTACTTGCTAAGATAAGACTGACTTTGGCAGATGAGATATCCTCTAAGAAAAAAGAGGGTGGGTGGGCGGGGCTAGTACTTACTAAGATAAGACTGATTTTGGCAGATAAGATATCCTCTAAGAAAATAGAGGGCGGGTGGGCGGGGCTAGTACCTGCTACGATAAAACTGACTTTGGCAAATGACATACCCTCTAAGAAACGAGAGGGTGGGTGGGCGGGGCTCGTACCTTCTAAAATAAGATCGATTTTGACAAATGACGTGTTCTATAAGAAATTTAATTAAATTATTATAAGAAAAAACACTCAAGACTTTTTCAGATTCGTAAAAAGTAAAACACTAAAAGCTCAAAAGATTTTTTCAAGTTCATCCAGCAACAAAACTCCAAATTTAAATTTATCCGAAATTAAAACACTGACTTTTCGGACAGAAAAATTGTCTCTAACCGAAATTAACTAAATATTCTCTTTTTCGAGTAGAATTCGTCTATAAATTCTTCCAACTCTTCTAAAATTCTATCGAACTTTTGATTTCGTTCTGCAGTTCTAGCTCTACAAATAAATCAGAAGTCAGAAGTCTATAATTTCAGATTTCTAGGCAGAATTCTTCTAGAATAATCTCGAACCAAATTAATTACGCTCCCTGTTCAATTTTAACCCTGAGCGAAATTCTTCTATATCTATATAAAAAAGAAATTTTTGCTTTATTTTGTGTGATTTGATATTTGACATTTTACATTATACAACAACACAAAAGGAAAACTAACCTCACCCACTCTGAATTTAATTGACATGAAAATTGAACTTTGTATTGTCGGTGATTAGATCTACGCTTAAAAAAATTTCAAAGCTCATCTATCACCTTTTTTTCATCACTTATTTTATTGGTCATTGGTTTTGGAATTTTGTTGGCGTATTTTATTTACTGTGAGATGAAAATTGAATTTTAGTTTATTAAATTGTCCAATTCTACCTTTAAAAAAAATTCAAAATGGCCCCGCCCATTCACCCTGAACACCACAATTGAGGGGGGGGGGGTGGGCGGGGTTTATATTTTACCTTTTTTCTATATATACATAGTATTCTTTGAATAACACGATACTCAAAAACATGTTTTTAATTTCTTCTAAAGAAATAAATATTTTGCAGTTAAACTCTGTCCCCTTGGTACAAGGTGAATAAAAAAAATCATCACAATCGAGACAGGGTGGGTGGGCGGGCTTACATTTTACCTTTTTGTTTTAATGTGTGTAGACTTCTTTTCACAACATGAAACTTAAAACATAGAAATGAAAATTTGTATAAGGAAATGGATTTTGCAGTAGACTCCGCCCCATAATTACAAAATCCATATTTCCTTGCAAAAAATTTACCATTTTAACCATGTTCCAAGTTTCTTGTTGTGTAAAGATGACTTGTATATATTAAGAAAAAAAAAACAAAATATAAGCCCCACCCACCCACCCTATCGCAATTCTGATGATTTTTTTATGCATCGTAAGCCAAGGGACGGAGTTTAATAGTAAAATCCTTATTTATCTCAGCGACATTATTTTTACTTTACAAGCGTAAGTGAAGGAAGTATTGTAATCAAGTCCGTCGGCTGACGTTCTACTTTTACATTTTCTCGACGTTTCATGATGCCTAGAGTACGAAGAAATAAGTCTCCCGTTTCGGTTTGTCTGTCTGTCTGCAGTCCCGATTTTTTTTTTTTTTTTTGTATGTTTTTGCAGAGTGATTCTTGTGTAAGTACTGTCTAGCTTGGTACTTGGGGCGGACCGCCCCCACCGCCCCACCTTTACGCCGCCACTGATGATGCCGAGTCATGCTATACCACTATTTGAAGTATGTTACAGTCTGAAAAAAAAATGATCAAAGTACTTCGCTTTATTAAAAGATAACCGTTGTAGTTCCGATATTGCCACTTACGTAATACCACAATTACGCTTTATTATGACGACGTTTCTGTACGTGGTGGGGACAATAATTCAGCTGTCTAGCCCGCTCGAGATCATGTTAATAAATTTATATCACAAACATTAATAGACGCAGATTATCGTCACCACAATATCAATTATTTGTTTTAGGGCTAAAACCACAACATGGACTTCGCCATAGGCGGCGCAGCCGCCGTCTGCGCAGGTTTTTTCACCAACCCTTTGGAAGTCATGAAAACCCGGATGCAACTCCAAGGGGAGCTACGAAGTAGAGGCCACCATGCCGTCCACTACAAGAACGTGTTTCACGCTGGGTATGTCATCGCAAAACATGATGGTATTCTGGCGCTTCAAGCCGGGTTAGTACCAGGATTGTGGTTTCAGCTGGTACTGAACGGGTACCGCTTTGGTAAAGATGGATTTTATCTCACCATAAAGTGTGATTAATTTAGTTTTTTCAAGGGTTGTACCAAATTCTTGACGATAAAGGCTACATGAAAGACAACAAGGGCAAACTCGTGTTTTATAAAAGCTTGTTGGTTGGGGGTTTCGCAGGGGCTACTGGTGCTTTCATTGCTAGCCCATTTTACCTAATCAAGACACATTTGCAGTCGCAAGCTTCCAAGGAAATCGCTTTCGGGCACCAGTACCACTATAAAGGTACGTGGTCTGGACTTTGGGGGATTTTTAAAGAACAAGGGGTAATTCAGTCGGTTTTCATTTACCAGAAAGTAGTGGGTTTTGTTGTAGGTAAAAGGGCTATTTCGGGGTGGTTCTTCAGCAGTACCACGAGCTTTCGTGGGTTCCACGTCGCAGCTGACGTCGTTCGCGTACTGTAAAGAGTTTATGCGGAAGTACGACATTTTGCAGAACTCGCCTTTGATTATGAGCTTTGTGGCAAGTATGGTTGGAGGTGTTGCCATTAGTGTGATGATGACACCGTTTGATTTAGTATCAACACGACTGTACAATCAAGGTATAACGATAGGTCAACAGACTTCGTCGTACAATTTTGACTTGCAGGTGTCGATCAGTTTGGTAAAGGGTTGTTATACACGGGTTACACCGACTGTGTTATCAAAATCTGGAAAACTGAGGGCTTCCTAGGGTTCTATAAAGGTCTAGGTGCTAGTTATTTTAGGTTAGGACCCCACACTGTATTATGTTTGATGTTTTGGGACGAGTTCAAAGAATTATACAATAAAATAAAATAAATAAAGCAATTTTTGTCATAGTACTTTTATTTTGCAATCTAGGGAAGTTAATAAATCGCTGCCTAATATTTCTCCGAAAAATCATCAAGGTTGTCTGATAAGATTAAAAATATTTATATCGATTATTCAGAGTCATGTTTATACCGAAGGTCAACCGGCTAAATAAAGTGACCCAATAAGACGGGACTTAAATTGTCATAGGACGCACGTGATCCTTTTTGTGTTCATAATTAATAATTACATAACAAAATTGTCACAACATGTTTTCTAAGCACGCAAACAGGATCAATCGTTTCAAATGTGCCAGCAAGCACTGTAAGTGTTTACCAACCTTTAAATTTTAAATCACTTTTGTAAGTTTTAGATGCCACTCAGTCAAAAATTTTGGTCGACAAACCCATCGTCGAAATCGACGGTGACGAAATGACCAAGCTAATTTTCGACGAAATCAAAGCAAAACTCGTGTTCCCGTTTGTGGAAGTCAAGCGCGACTACTACGACTGCAGTATAACCAACAGGTACTAAAGTGGTACTGTTTCGTCATTCACAGATGTCGATTTTTAGAAACCAAACCCAGAACCAAGTGTCTAGGGATGCCGCCGCCGCCATTCTAAAGCACAATGTGGGTGTTAAGTGCTCGACGATAACACCAGACGAGGAGAGGGTTAAGGGTGAGTACTACTTCGTTGGGTTGTGTCACCTAAACACCAGAGTTTAATTTAACGCAAATGTGGCCTAGTCCCAATGGGATGATCCGTAACGCGCTTAATGGTACCCAGTTTAGAGAGTCAATTATTTTCAAAAACGTGAACAAGTACGTGCCGGGGTGGACGAAGCCCATCATCATGGGACGACACACATTTGGGGACCAGTATGGTGGGAAAGACGTGACAATTAAAAAACCATCAAAGGTTTGATTAATCAAACAACGATTTGTATTATTGTAGTCGCGTTGTAGATTTTTATTACAATTAAGTCAGACGATGGTACCGAAGACTCAGTTGAAGCTTTTAGTTACAAAGGCAAAGGGGTTGCAATGTTGACTTTCAACACCGAAGACAGCATCCGATCGTTCGCCGTTTCGTGCTTCAGAATGGCTCTAGAACGCAATTACCCGCTATATTTTGCCACCAAAAGTACCCTTTTGAAACAATACGACAAACTCTTCAATGAAGTGTTTCTAGACGTCTACGAGAAGTACGTTTCGTACTAAGACGAGTCGCAAAGTTCGAATTTTGCTTTCAGGGATTTCAAAACACAATTCGAGCACGCCAATTTGACTTTCGAGTTGCGACTAATCGATGATATGGCAGCCCAAGCGATGAAGTCTTCTGGTGGTTTCCTCTGGGCTTTGAAAAGCTACGATGGGGATGTCCTTTCCGACGTGGTGGGTCAAGGTTTTGGTTCTATGGGTTTGATGATACACAGTTTGGTATCTCATGATGGTAAAACCGTCATGACTGAGCCTGCGCATGGAACCGTGACACGACACTATCGGTAAATGGGTTCATTTTGTCCGATTTTTGTAACTTTGGAAATTGAAGGGAACACCAGAAAGGGGTGACGACGTCGACTAACCCCATATCGTCGATCTTTGCTTGGAGTAGGGGGCTTCAACATAGAGCGAAGCTCGATGGTAATGCGCAGTTGGAAAATTTTAGCAAAGCTTTGGAAAAAGCGACGGTTGGAACGGTGGAAGATGGATTGGTTACGAAAGATCTGGCACCCTGTGTCTACGGGAAAGAGTTTAAAGACAAGTTTTTAAGTACTTCGGAGTTTATCGACGAAGTAGTTAAACGTTTGAAATAAAAACTATACACAAATGTGTTTCTTTGATAGTACTATCTTAATGACATTCATACATATTCATTTATAATTGGCTTAGTCTGGAAAATGTCAGTGTGTAAACAATGGTGAATAAAGTGTTACTGTTGTTGTGTTTTCTGCAAGCTGTGACCAAGGTACTACCATCAATAAATTCGTAACAAGTACTAGTTTTTTGTTTCAATTGAAGTTAACAATTTCACACCGAAACCAACCCACCGTAGAGACCTCTCATGGTAGAATCAAAGGTACGATTTTACGAACCCGGCAGCCACCACATTCACAGTACTACGCCTTCAAAGGCATCCCCTACGCCAAACCACCCTTGAACCATTTACGTTTCAAAGTAAGACACTTCATTTTCCTGATTTTCCAAACGAAACTACTTCTTTAGCCACCACAAAATCCAAATCCTTGGAACGGGGTCAAACCGTGCCAAAAATTCGGAAATCCTTGTCTACAAATTAGCAAAACTGATGGTTCTGTTATCGGAAGTGAGGACTGTTTGACTTTGAATGTATTCACGAACGAGTTGGACGTCACAAGGTTGAAGCCGGTGATGTTCTGGATCCATGGAGGTGCTCATTTGAGAGGCTCGGGTTCGCTCTATGGACCTGACTATTTGGTTGAAAAACCTATTGTTTTGGTGACTGTAAATTTCCGTTTGAATGTTTTTGGTTTTTTGACGGTTAACGATGAAAATGCTTATGGAAACACGGGGATTAAGGATCAGGTAGCTGCGCTGAAATGGGTTCGGGATAATATCGCGAAATTTGGGGGAGATGCTTCCAGGGTTACGATTTTTGGGGAAAGTTCGGGAGCTAATTGTGTGTCTTTGTTGCAGCTGTGTCCTAGAACTAAAGGTAGAACTAGTCTATGTTTGGATGACCAATTGACTTCATTTTTAGGGTTGTATCATCAGGTAATAGTACAAAGTGGGTCTGCTCTTAACTCTAGATATTTACAAAGAAACCCACTTAAGTACGTCTATAATATTGCAAATTATTTTAATGTTAGTTCTGAAACAACTAAAACTATGGTTGAGGGGTTACAAACCATTGATGCCAAAGAGTTAACTAAAGTAGCCCATAATTACAAAGCTATGGTAAGTACCATGAAGTATATATACACGGGTAAACCTTTTTTTTCAGAGATATACCCAAAATTTGCAAGCGGGTCCTTTTTATCCCGTTATTGAAGTGGACAATCCTGGTGCTATAATTACTGATAGTCCGTTTGAATTGATGAAATCGGGCAAACTTAACCCAATACCTTTTATCGCTGGTTATAACACAGACGAAGGAACGCTTGGCCTAAAAAGTTATCTACGTGTTACTCAGATTGAAAGCGTACTTTCAATTTTGTTGTAGTTGTAAATTCCACCATGAATATTAGTGATTTTGATGAAAAATACGAACTGTTTGCCCCTCGATCTTTGAACAACGAAGACAATCAAGTTTCAATAGGGAAAGTAGTTAGAGGGTACTTTTTAGGAAATTCTTCTGCCACCAACGTTGATAAATTGTCAAAGGTGTCCCGTAGAAAACATAAATAGTGTTTTATTTTCTGTTTCAGTTTTTAGGGCAAGAGTTGCTGGTACGTGGTATCAGAAAACAGGCCGATTTTCAAAGACAATATTCTAGAGGGTACTTCTACAGATTTGGTTATAAAGGAACGAACACTGCAGGTCCAGGTACGTTTTCAGTTTTTCATTTTCATATTAAATCCACTGTCAAAATTGAAGGAGTTGGTCATGCTGAAGAATTACAGTACTTATTTAAACAGGAAGCTCCCAACGAAGTAACCGACCAGGATATTTTAACCCGAAGACGGATGGTTGAAATGTGGACCAATTTTGCAATTTTTGGGTAATATGCAGGAATTTTGAAATCCAGGACGATTTATTTGTGTGTAGGTCTCCACTTCCTGACGATACTCTAGTATCGGAAAACGTTTCCTGGAAGGAATGTCAAAGCAGCGGGCCGTTAAATTTTTTGAAAATAGGGACCAGTGTTACCCAGGGGACAAACCCAGACGACCAAACCTATCGCTTTTGGAAGGAACTTTTTAATAAATTTGGTGTAGAACCTTATCAAACTTATTAAAATGTGACAATGTATAAAACGCGAAATTAATAAAATTCTAAATCTTCAACTTTTTCTGAAGTTTTCAAAACGTGGCGGCTTCAGTTTTTCGACAATTCCTACATTTTTTTTTGGTATTCCAGAAAGACCTCGATCGCCGCACATCTAGAAGGAAGTATGGGTTTAAATAGACGGTTGGGTCAAGAGAGTCCACTCAGCTTGGCATATAAGTACTTTTTTCCAAACTTATCGACTTTAATCGCGTTATAAAACTGTGGTCCAGGAAGAGTGCTTGTGTTCATTTTGACATACGTTTCATCATCTATTAAATCCAGCGATTCTTTTCTTCATTCAAAAGTTTGTAGAGCTTTCCGCTCCGCTTTTAGGCCCTTATTTGTTCTTCACTCCTTTTTGGTATTCTTTCTTGTAAGTCTTTATACCGTTCCTTTTTTTGACATTTTGCACTGTTCTTACACTGACACCAAATTTTTTAGCAATTTTACGCATTGACATGAATTTTTCCAATGTCACCACGTTTTCTTCAGTTTTTGGATCTGGACCCTTTCTTCGGCGAGATTTAGGTAAATTTTCAGGTGTATAGTGGTTACCAAATTTATTTTCCGTCACTACAATATCAATTATTTATTTTAGGGCTAAATCCTCAACATGGACTTCGCCATAGGCGGCGCAGCCGCCGCCTGCGCTTGTTTTTTCACTAACCCTTTGGAGGTCATGAAAACCCGGATGCAACTCCAAGGGGAGCTACGAAGTCGAGGCCACCATGCCGTCCACTACAAGAACGTGTTTCACGCTGGGTACGTCATCGCGAAACATGATGGTATTCTGGCCCTTCAAGCCGGCTTAGTACCAGGATTGTGGTTTCAGCTGGTACTGAACGGGTACCGCTTTGGTAAAGATGGATTTTCTGTCACCATAAAGTGTGATTAATTTAGTTTTTTCAAGGGTTGTACCAAATTCTTGACGATAAAGGCTACATGAAAGACAACAAAGGGAAACTCGTGTTTTATATGAGTTTGTTGGTTGGGGGGTTCGCAGGGGCCACTGGTGCTTTCATTGCTAGCCCGTTTTACCTAATCAAGACACATTTGCAGTCGCAAGCTTCCACGGAAATCGCTTTCGGGCACCAGTACCACTATAAAGGTACGTGGTCTGGACTTTGGGGGATTTTTAAAGAACAAGGGGTAACTGAGTCGGTTTTCATTTACCAGAAAGTAGTGGTTTTTGTTGTAGGTAAAGGGACTATTTCGGGGTGGTTCTTCAGGAGTACCACGAGCTTTCGTGGGTTCAACGTCGCAGCTGACATCGTTCGCGTACTGTAAAGAGTTTATGCGGAAGTACGACATTTTGCAGAACTCGCCTTTGATTATGAGCTTTGTGGCGAGTATGGTTGGAGGTGTTGCCATTAGTGTGATGATGACACCTTTTGATTTAGTGGCAACACGACTGTACAATCAAGGTATAAAGATAGGCCAACAGACTTTGTGGTACAATTTTGACTTGTAGGTGTCGATCAGTTTGGTAAAGGGTTGTTATACACTGGTTACACCGACTGTGTTATCAAAATCTGGAAAACCGAGGGCTTTCTAGGGTTCTATAAAGGTCTAGGTGCTAGTTATTTTAGGTTAGGACCACACAGTGTGTTATGTTTGATGTTCTGGGACGAGTTCAAAGAATTATACAATAAAATAAAATAAATAAAGCTATTTTTGTCATAGTACTTTTATTTTGCAATCTAGGGAAGTTAATAAATCGCTGTCCAATTCTACGCTTAAAAAAATTCAAAGTGGTCCCGCCCACCCACCCTGTTTTCTTTGTGATCATTCATTTTATTGGTGAAAAAGTGGATTTTATATTGAAAAACATAGAAATCTAGACAAAAAGGGTAAAACTAACCCCACCCACCTCCGTTTTTGAATTTCATTGGCTTATTTATTTACTGAGATGAAAATTTAATTTTATTTTGTCAAGTGGTCGAATCTACGAATAAGAAAATCCTCAAAGTGGTCCCGCCCACCCAGCCTTTTTTTATCGCTCATTTCATAAGACGACAGGTGGATTTTATAATGAAGAATAGTGGAATCTAGATCATAACAGTAAAAGTACCCCACCCATCTCCGTTTTTTAATTTCTTAGAGGGTATGTCATTTGCCGAAGTCAGTTTTATCGTAGCAGGTACTAGCCCCGCCCACCCGCCCTTGTCTTTCTTAGAGGATATCTCATCTGCCAAAGTCAGTCTTATCTTAGCAAGTGCTAGCCCCGCCCACCCGCCCTTTCTCTTCTTAAAGGATATCTCATTTGCCAAATCAGTCTTGTCTTAGCAAGTACTAGTGGTAAAGTGGTCGAATCTACGAATAAGAAAAAATTTTAAAGTGATCCCGCCCACCCAGCCTTTTTTTATCACTCATTTTATTCGACGAAAAGTGGATTTTATATTGAAAAATAAAGAAATCTATATAATAAAAGTAAAACTACCCCACCTACCTCCGTTTTTGAATTTCATTGGCTTATTTTGTTTACTGTGAGATGATAATTGAATTTTAGTTTATTAAACTGTCCAATTCTACGTTTAAAAAAATCAAAGTGGTCCCGCCCACCCACCCTGTTTTCTTTGTCATCATTCATTTTATTGGTGAAAAATCTATACAAAAAAGGTAAAACTAACCCCACTCACCTCCGTTTTTGAATTTCATTGGTTTATTTATTTACTGAGATGAAAATTTTATTTTATTTTGTCAAGTTGTCAAGTCTACGAATAAGAAAAAAAGATAAAGCTGATTTTGGCAAATGACATACCCTCCGAGAAACGAGAGGGTGGGTGGGCGGGGCTCGTATTTGCTAAGATAAAATTGACTTTGGCAGATGAGATATCCTCTAAGAAAAGAGAGGGCGGGTGGGTGGGGCTAGTACTTGCTAAGATAAGACTGACTTTCGCAGATGAGATATCCTCTAAGAAAAGAGAGGGCGGGTGGGCGGGGCTAGTACTTGCTAAGATAAGACTGACTTTGGCAGCTGAGATATCTTCTAAGAAACGAGAGGGTGGGTGGGCGGGACTAGTACTTGCTAAGATAAAATTGACTTTGGCAGATGAGATATTCTCTAAGAAAAGAAAGGGAGGGTGGGCGGGGCTAGTACCTGCTACGATAAAACTGACTTTGGCAAATGACATACCCTCTAAGAAACGAGAGGGTGGGTGGGCGGGGCTAATACCTTCTAAAATAAGATCGATTTTGGCAAATGACGTATCCTATAAGAAATTTAATTAAATTATTATAAGAAAAAGCACTCAAGACTTTTTCAGATTCGTTAAAAGTAAAACACTAAAAGCTCAAAAGATTTTTTCAAGTTCATCCAGCAACAAAACAACAAATTTAAATTTATCCGAAATTAAAACACTCACTTTTCGGACAGAAAAAATGTCTCTAACCGAAATTAACTAAATATTCTCTTTCGAGTAGAATTCGTCTATAAATTCTTCCAACTCTTCTAAAATTCTATCGAACTTTTGATTTCGTTCTGCAGTTCTAGCTCTACAAATAAATCAGAAGTCTATAAGTTCAGATTTCGAGACAGAATTCTTCTAGAATAATCTCGAACCAAATTAATTACGCTCCCTCTTCAATTTTAACCCTGAAGGCGAAATTCTTTTATATCTATATAAAAAAGAATTTTTTGCTTTATTTTGTGTGTGTAATTAGATATTTGATATTTGACATTCTACAACAACACAAAAGGAAAACTAATCTCACCCACTCTGAATTTAATTGACATGAAAATTGAACTTTGTATTGTCGGTGATTAGATCTACGCTTAAAAAAATTTCAAAGCTCATCTATCACCTTTTTTTCATCACTTATTTTATTGATCATTGGTTTTTGAATTTCATTGGCTTATTTTATTTACTGTGAGATGAAAATTGAATTTTAGTTTATTAAATTGTCCAATTCTACGCTTAAAAAAAAAATCAAAGTGGCTTATTTATTTACTGAGATGAAAATTTTGGTCTATTTTGTCAAGTGGTCGAATCTACGAATAAGGAAAAACTTCAAAGTGGTCCCGCTCGTCCAGCTTTTTTATCACTCATTTTATTGGACAAAAATTGGATTTTATAATGAAAAATAGTGGAATCTAGACAATAAAGGTAAATATACCCCCCCCCCCCACCTCCGTTTTTGAATTTCATTGGGTTATTTATTTATTAAGATGAAAATTTAATTTAATTTTGTCAAGTGGTCGAATCTACGAATAAGAAAAAAAGATAAATCTGATTTTGGCAAATGACATACCCTCTAAGAAAAGAAAGGGTGGGTGGGCGGGGCTAGTACTTGCTAAGATAAGACTGATTTAGCAAATGAGATATCATCTAAGAAAAGAAAGGGTAGGTGGGCGGGGCTAGTACTTGCTAAGATAAGACTGATTTTGGCAGATGAGATATCCTATAAGAAAAGAGAGGGCGGGTGGGCGGGGCTAGTACCTGCTACGATAAAAGTGACTTTGGCAAATGACATACCCTCTAAGAAACGAGAAGGTGGGTGGGCGGGGCTAGTACCTTCTAAAATAAGATCGATTTTAGCAAATGGCGTATCTTATAAGAAGTTTAATTAAATTATTATAAGAAAAAACACTCAAGACTTTTTTAGATTCGTAAAAAATAAAACACTAAAAGCTCAAAAGATTTTTTCAAGTTCATTCAGCAACAAAACACCAAATTTAAATTTATCCGAAATTAAAACACTCACTTTTCGGACAGAAAAATTGTCTCTAACCGAAATTAACTAAATATTCTTTTTTTCGAGTAGAATTCGTCTATAAATTCTTCCAACTCTTCTAAAATTCTATCGAACTTTTGATTTCGTTCTGCAGTTCTAGCTCTACAAATAAATCAGAAGTCTATAATTTCAGATTTCGAGACAGAATTCTTCTAGAATAATCTCGAACCAAATTAATTACGCTCGCTGTTCAATTTCAACCCTGAAGGCGAAATTCTTCTATATCTATATAAAAAAGAATTTTTTGCTTTATTTTGTGTGTGTGATTTGATGTTTGACATTTGACATTATACAACAACACAAAAGAAAAACTGACCTAAGCCACTCTGAATTTAATTGACATGAAAATTGAACTTTGTATTGTCGGTGATTAGATCTACGCTTAAAAAAATTTCAAAGCTCATCTATCACCTTTTTTGTCATCACTTATTTTATTAGTCATTGGTTTTTGAATTTCATTGGCTTATTTTATTTACTGTGAGATGAAAATTGAATTTTAGTTTATTAAATTGTCCAATTCTACGCTTAAAAAAATTCAAAGTGGCCCCGCCCACCCACCCTGTTTTCTTTGTGATCATTCATTTTATTGGTGAAAAATCTAGACAAAAAAGGTAAACCTAACGCCACCCACCTACGTTTTTGAATTTCATTGGCTTATTTATTTACTGAGATGAAAATTTAATTTAATTTTGTCAAGTTGTCGAATCTATGAATAAGAAAAAAAGATAAAGCTGATTTTGGCAAATGACATACCCTCCGAGAAACGAGAGGGTGGGTGGGCGGGGCTAGTACTTGCTAAGATAAAATTGACTTTGGCAAATGAGATATCCTCTAAGAAAAGAGAGGGCGGGTGGGCGGGGCTAGTACTTGCTAAGATAAGACTGACTTTGGCAGAGGAGATATCCTCTAAGAAACGAGAGGGCGGGTGGGCGGGGCTAGTACCTTCTAAAATAAGATCGATTTTGGCAAATGACGTATCCTTTAAGAAATTTAATTAAATTATTATAAGAAAAAACACTCAAGACTTTTTCAGATTCGTAAAAACTAAAACACTAAAAGTTCAGAAGGTTTTTTCAAGTTCATCCAGCAACAAAACACCAAATTTAAATTTATCCGAAATTAAAACGCTCACTTTTCGGACAGAAAAATTGTCTCGAACCGAAATTAACTAAATATTCTCTTTTTCGAGTAGAATTCATCTATAAATTCTTCCAACTCTTCTAAAATTCTATCGAACTTTTGATTTCGTTCTGCAGTTCTAGCTCTACAAATAAATCAGAAGTGTATAATTTCAGATTTCTAGACAAAATTCTTCTAGAATAATCTCGTACCAAATTATTTACGCTCCCTGTTCAATTTTAACCCTGAAGGCGAAATTCTTCTATATCTATATCAAAAAGAATTTTTTGCTTTATTTTGTGTGTGATTTGATATTGGATATTTGACATTATACAACACAAAAGGAAAACTAACCTCACCCACTCTGAATTTAATTGACAAGTAAATTGAACTTTTTATTGTCGGTGATTAGATCTACGCTTAAAAAAATTTCAAAGCTCATCTATCAACTTTTTTTTCATCACTTATTTTATTCGTCATTGGTTTTTGAATTTCATTGGTTTATTTTGTTCACTGTGAGATGAAAATTGTATTTTAGTTAATTAAATTGTCCAATTCTACCTTTAAAAAAAAACAAAGTGGCTCCGCCCACCCACCCTGAACACCACAATTGAGATGGGGTGGGTGGGTGGGGTTTATATTTTGTGTAAATAGAGGTAAATAAAAGTTGTACGATGTGGTCACAAAACATTTTATTTAAAGTGGAAGACCCGACAATACAAAACCTTAAATAAAACCGAGGTGAACACGATTACACCTCCTTTACGTCTGATATCGAAAACGTCTCGACAGTGCTGGCCGAATTGACCGGCGACTCCACCGGCCTGGATGAAAACCCCTGCTTACACAAAGCGGCAACTTCGACTGGGTCTCGACCCCGAGTTTCAGGCAAATAAAACCTAGAAAAACCAACATTTGTAACACTTGTTGTCAAAAAATAAGTACTCACCGGATAAAAAAATACAGCGCGATGACCACAATCGCGAAAATAAAGAAAGATTTAGCTCTTAAGTACGTTAGCATTGATGGGAAAAGTAGCGCGATGAAGAAATTGCCTCCCCAGTTCGCCATGCTGCCTAGAGCCATCGCGCTGGGTCTGGGTCCAACTTCGAACAGCTCGGACCCTATGAAATAAGGAACGGGACCGAGTGCGATCCCGTAGCAAACCACGAATCCTAGAACGCCCACAATGCTTAAGTACGGCATCCAGGATATTGTTGACTGAAAAAACAAAGTTAGATAATAGTAGAACAATGACAAAACAAAATACAATAAAAGTTGCTGCCGTTCCTAAAACGATTAGGAACACCGCTGTCGTTATTAGACTGACTTGGAGTGTACACCTTCGGTTGAATTTCGCCATCACAGGAATCGAAATTATTGCCATGAGGAGATTGCAACAGCCGGCTGCAATTGTCGCGATCTGGCTATTCTCCAGCGAAAATCCGGCCTCTTGGAAGATGATCACGGAGTAGTAGAAGACGGCGTTGATTCCGCTAAACTGTTGACCGGCTTGAAGACTACAAACTAAGAGAAGTGGCAGTAGAAGCGTTTTGTCTTTCAACACCCTGAGTAAGTTCCACGAGTCACTTTCGTCTACGTCATTGTCTTGCTCTTCCAGGCGCAGTTCGTGGATTTCTTGGTCCAGGAACTCTTCCTTGACGTTACGAATAGAAGCTAATTCTGGAAAAAAGTGTCAATTGTGTTGGTTTTGTGGATTGATAAGTACGTACGTTGGATGGCCAAGTGCGGCTGCTTTTTCACTATAAATAAATACTTGGGGCTTTCAGGCAAAAAAATTAGCAGGAAGCTGCATAAGAGTAATGGTAGTAGATAAAAAGCGAGTAAGTGTGGCCAGAATTCTTCGTTGCCTAGAATTTTGTATAAGGAGAGAACTTGTCCGACTAAGACTCCGAACGTCACCCCCAAAGGACACAATACTCCCATGGACCCTCGGAGTAAACTTGGAGCTAACTCAGTTAAGTACATCGGCATTACACTAGTTATCAGACCTGACGATACCCCCACTAATAACCTTCCGGCTATCAACATCTCGATCGAGTTAGCCGTTTTTGAAACGAAGAACAGAACCCCAGCTAGAGTTCCTATTCCAGAGCTGACTATTAAGGCACCTTTGCGTCCGACTTTATCGGCAAAATATGAACCACCGAGGGAACCCACGGTACCACCTACTAGAAAAATCGCTACGATGGTCGACCACAGAAAATCTAGGCCGTTCTTCTGCAAAATTACTCCATACCGGCTTTGGACACTCTCATTACAAAAACTTTTAATCACCTGAAAATCAAACAAGTAGTGATATTTTTTTTTGCCTAGAAAAGTACTCACTCCTGCGGGCGAGTTGACCACGCCTATATTGTAGCCAACAGGAAGGGAACAACCGATGGTGGTGGCGGCTCCCGCCAGGACCAACACTCTCGTCCATGATGGGCGAGTTACCGAGATTTCCTGGAAGTCGAAAATGGTGGAAATGGTAGCTAGTGGGTTACAAAGACAATGAAGTGAAAGCAGGTCGTACCTTTTGGTTTGAAGCCATGTCTTCGACTGCTGGTTCTTACAAGTAGGTTACATATAAGTCGACGATCGTACGATTTTCAATTATAATTATCAAAATTTAATTAAGATTAGAGATAGAAATAAATCGTGGAAGTGCTGAATAATGTCTTTATTGGTTTTTGTTTCGTAACTACATTACAAATTTATAACAATTTGAACATCGTGGGCTTGGACGGATTTAATTTTTTGCTTAACTAAGTCCACTTTTAAGTAATAAAGATCACATTCGTTGTGCGTTTGCCTTAAGATAAGTAACACAGCATGCATCTGACTAGATTTTAAAAGCAGTGACGTTTTAATTATATTAGTATTTTTTGTTGATTAGAATGTCAACGAGAATGCATGAGTCGTTCAAAATTGGTATCACTGAACCCAGCATGAAAATCCACCAAAACCACCCACACTGCCAGCCATCCAGAATGATACAACTGAGAAGAAGACAAGCACTAGCGTGGCAGCCAATGGCTGTGTATGTAGTAGTTAAGGTAAAATAAAGAAAGACGCAGTATTCCTGTTTTTTCAATTTAAATGTTATGTCTGAGTTAAAATTGCAAATGTAATCAATAAATCAACTTAATTAAAAAGATAAACTTATTATTTTTTTCCCGACCCCAAACCTCGGTTATTGTTAACAAAAGTGACAATGAAGGATACACAATAAGGCGGATGTGGGATGAAACATGGTTAGACCAATCAGAAAAATTAACAGTTCAAAACAAATCATTCCAACAGCAACACTCAATCCAACCACCAGCCTGCAATACAAAAAACGACAATTAAAAGCAGGAATGCGCAATTTTCGTGGTATGCAGCCTTTAACAAGTTAAGTGGTACGTACACGTGCGGCTTGAGGTCAACATAACCGGTAAAAACCGGTTCTGTCTAGTGTTAAAAACTGCACTCGATAAGAGTTGACGTTTAGTCCCACTTGTCACAAGATTTAATGAAAATGACTAGCATCTGCGTTAAGCACACTACCCTGATAATTTAAACCGGTCATTTTTACCTACCGTTTAAAAGTAGCCAGGCCCTAAAAATTGCCTAATACTATTAAATTAAAAATTAACTAAGTACGGTAGTCTTACCCTCCGGACTACCATTTTTAGCTACAAAGCAGGTAATACCTGACAGTTCGTGATATTTCAACTATCACATAAAAACTCATTTATTTGGGTGAACATTTTAGTTATTTAAATTTACTAACGACACTAACCCGAGTCTAGTTATGTACTGAATGTTTTAAGTGCAGTCGAGCAATTAATTTCGTTTAAATGACCATTATTCTATTGTAGTTTATTTACGATTAATGTCTACTCTAAAAATAGCCTCTAAATGGATTAAAATAGTTTGTCGGGCCAATCCAGTCGCAATAAACAAACTTTTACTCACTGAGTATGGTGAACTTGAAAAATTTGATCGGACGTCTCCTCCGTTAAACAGGCCTTCACGCTCTGCGGACTGTTCCATAATAACAACACGCAAATTATAAAGTGGGCAACTAAAATTAAAAATTTCGCTGGAATGAGCTCGGAAGTGTAGTACATGACACCTGAAACAACGAAATCGGCGTAAAACTAGCAATCTAGTGGATTATGTTGTTTTGCAAACAGATAATAAATCGTTTTATCAGATTGAAAATAGTATGGCGAAATGATCATCTCCGGAATAAAGTGTCGCAGCAAGATTTAGCGCAACCTATATCTTATTCTCCTATTTTAATACGTGTAGATTTCTTTTCACAACATGAAACTTAAAACATGTTTAAAATGGAAAATTTGTATAAGGAAATATCTATTTTATACTTAGGCTCCGCTCCATAATTGCAGAATTCATATTTCCGTGCAAAAATATATCATTTTAACCATGTTCTAAGTTTTTTGTGAAAAGATGGCTATGTATATTAAGAAAAAAAAGGAAAATATAAGGCCCGCCCACCCGCCCTATCTCAATTCTCATGATTTTTTTTTTAATTCGTCGTAAGCTGAGGGGCGGAGCTTAATTGTAAAGTCCTTATTTTTCTACGAGAAATTATCATGTGAAATATATTCAATAATCGAGAAGTGGAAAAATTAAAACCTAAAGAAAAAATTCGAAAATTTGAAAAATCCTAATATTTAAGGAAAAATTCGAATAATCGAGAAATAGAAAATCGAACAATGGCAACATCAAAAAATTGGTCTAAAGAGTTTAGACAGTACTTCCCTCGCTGTCGGAAAATTGACGACTGCATGCCTATTGTGTGTGTGAGTAAAGTAAATTTACGCTTTCATTTATTTTCTTGAATCACCCTGTATATGCAAATCCAAAAAATATGAATGGAGTGATAGATCACAAGTACAGACTGATCATATTTTGTACATTTTAGATATGATTTATTCGGCAAATTTTCGAGCTGACGTCATCAAGTTTTTGGAGGGGATAAGCAAATATATTTTGACTAAACATTTATTATGCTCTTTATAACCTTAAAACATCTGCAAGATGTCAGAGCATTCCGTTTTGTAGTTCCTGATTAAATCAATAAAATATATTTACGCATTCATTAATTTTTTTGAGTCACTCTGTATATGCAAATCCAAAAAATATGAATGGAGTGATAAATGACAAGTACAGGCTCATCATATTTTGTACATTTTAGATATGATTTATTCGGCAAACTTTCGAGCTGACGTCATCAAGTTTTTGGAGGGGATAAGCAAATATATTTTGACTAAACATTTATTATGCTCTTTATGACCTTAAAACATCTGCAAGATTTCAGAGCATTCGGTTTTGTAGTTCCTAATTAAATCAATAAAATATATTTACGCATTCATTAATTTTTTTGAGTCACCCTGTATTTGCAAATCCAAAAAATATGAATGGAGTGATAGATCACAAGTACAGACTCATCATATTTTGTACATTTTAGATATGATTTATTCGACAAACTTTTGAGCTGACGTCATCAAGTTTTTGGAGGGGATAAGCAAATATTTTTTGACTAAAGATTTATGATGCTCTTTATAGCCTTAAAACATCTGCAACATTTCAAAGCATTCTGGTTAGCAGATTAAAAATTAAATTTCAAAATGTTGTTTTATAATTTTGATTTTTTTTCCAAAAATCTGGACGTTTCGGGTGAAAAGTCGATTCAGAGTTGTAAACTACATGTGTAGGACTATGTTATTTTATACAATTGAAAACCTATTTACTATGTACAATTTTGAAGTGACGTCATCGCATTAGTGGTGGGGATGATTAGACAAATTTTGGTTAGCGTTTTACCATCTACATGATATTCTTAATATAAGTACAAAATTTCACAACAATCGGTCGAGTACTTTCGGAGATTATCTGTCTAATAAAAATCCGGGACAACAGACGGACAGACGGACAGACGGACAGACGGACAGACGGACAGACGGACAGACGGACAGACAGACGGAAATGGGAGACCTATTTCTTCGTCTTCTAGGGGTCATGAAAGATCGAGAAAACGTAAAAGTAGAGAGTCGGCCGACGGACTCGATTACAATACTTCCTTTGCTTACGCTCGGGAAGTAAAAATCGAAAAAATCGACATTTGAGAAATCAAACAATGGAAAATTTGAAAAATGAAAAATTGAAACATCGAAAATTCGAAAAAACAAAAAGTCAAAACTACAAAAAATCCATAACTGAGAAATCGAAAAAGCAAAAAATTTATGAAAAAAATTTAAAAATCGGAAAACTGAAAAATCGGAAAATCGTAAAATCAACACATCGATCAATCTAAATACCAAAGAAGAAAATATACAAGACAACGAGAAACTGTGAAATCAAAAATTCAAAATTCGAAAAAATTTAAGAAAAAATTCGAAAATTTAAAATATCAACAATCCAAAAACCAAAATATTGAGAATTCAAAAATCGGGAAATCGATCCATTTAAAAATCAAAAATGAAAAAATTCGAAACATTGAAAGTTGGGAAAACGAGAAATCGTGAGTTCAAAATTCGAAAAATTTAAGAAAAAATTCGTAAAAATCTCAAAAATCAACAATCGAGAAACCGAAACATTGTAAATCCAAAAATCGAAAATTGAGAAATCCAGAAACTGAGAAATCGAAAATTTGAAATATTAGACCAATTAAAGAAAAAATCGAAAAATTGAGAAATCGAAAAATAGGAAAATCGAAAATTCGAAAAATGAACAATCGAAAAACCGAAATTTCGAAAATTTAAAAATCGAAAATTGGGGAATCCAAAAATCGGGAAATTCAGAATTTGAAAAATGGAAAAATGAAAGTAAAAATTTCAAAACATTTAAAAACCGAAAATCCAAAAATCGAGATCGGGAAAATCGAAAAATCGAAGTACCTAAAAGTCAAAAAGTCTGATTTTTCGGATAATAACTGAGAAATCGGAAAACCGAGAAATCAAAAAATTCATGAAAAAACTTAAAAAATCGGAGATTCGAAGAATCAACCAATCAAAAAATCGTAAAATCGCGAAACCGATGAATCTAAAAATTAAAAAAGAAAAAAAATCGAAAAATTCAAAGTCGAGAAAACGAGAAATCATGAAATCAAACATTCAAAATTGGAAAAATTGAAGAAAAAATCCGATAAATCTCAAAAATCAACAATCGAGAAAATGAGACATTAAAAATCCAAAAATCGAAAATTGAGAAATCCAGAAACCGAGAAATCGAAAATTTGAAATATTAGACCAATTAAAGAAAACTTTGAAAAATCGAAAAATCGAGAAATCGAGAAATCGAAAATCCAAAATTCAAAAAACGAGAAATCAAAAATTCAAAATTCGAAAAATTGAAGCAAAAATTTGAAAATTGAAAAATCAACAATCCAAAAACCAAAATATTGAGAATTCAAAAAGCGACAATAATTGAGAAATCGAAAAACCGGAAAATCCACAAATCAAAAAATTCATGAAAAAACTTAAAAAATCGGAGATTCGAAGAATCAAAAAATTAAAAAATCGTAAAATCGCAAAACCGATGAATCTAAAAATTAAAAAAGAAAAAAAATCGAAAAATTCAAAGTCGAGAAAACGAGAAAACATGAAATCAAAAATTCAAAATTCGAAAAATTGAAGAAAAAATTGATAAATCTCAAAAATCAACAATCGAGAAAATGAAACATTGTGAATCCAAAAATCGAAAACGGAGAAATCCAGAAACCGAGAAATCGAAAATTTGAAATATTAGACCAATTAAAGAAAATTTTGAAAAATCAAAAATCGAAAATTCAAAAAACCCAGAAATCAAAAATTCAAAATCTTTAAAAATCGGAGGGCCGAAAAATCAAAAAATTATAAAATCCGGAAATCGATCAATCTAAAAATCAAAAATGAAAAAAATCGAAACATCGAAAGTTGAGAAAACGAGAAATCGCAAGAAAAATTTGAAAATCGAAAATTCGAAAAATCAACAATCGAGAAATCGAAAAACCGAAATTTCGAAAATTCAAAAATCGAAAATTGGGGAATCCAGAAATCGGGAAATTCGGAATTCGAAAAATAAAAAAATGAAAGTAAAAATTTCAAAACATCTACAAACCGAAAATTCAAAAATCGAAAATTCGAAGTACCTAAAAGTCAAAAATCCTGAGTTTTTGGATAATAACTGAGGAATCGGCAAGCTGAGAAATCAAAACATCAAAAAATTCATGAAAAAACTTTAAAAATCGGAGATTCGAAAAATCAAAAAATCAGAAAATCGTAAAATCGCGAGACTGATCAATCTAAAAATTAAAAAAGAAAGAAAATCGAAAAATTCAAAGTGGAGAAAACGAGAAAACATGAAATCAAAAATTCAAAATTCGAAAAATTGAAGAAAAAATTCGAAAAATCTCAAAAATCAACAATCGAGAAACCGAAACATTGTAAATCCAAAAATCGAAAATTCGAAGTACCTAAAAGTCAAAAATCCTGATTTTTTGGATATTAACTGAGGAATCGGCAAGCCGAGAAATCAAAATATCAAAAAATTCATGAAAAAACTTAAAAAATCGGAGATTCGGAAAATCAAAAAATCAGAAAATCGTAAAATCGAGAAACCGATGAATCTAAAAATTAAAAAAGAAAAAAAAATCGAAAAATTTAAAGTCGAGAAAACGAGAAATCATGAAATCAAAAATTCAAAATTCGACAAATTGAAGAAAAAATTCGATAAATCTCAAAAATCAACAATCGAGAAAATGAAACATTGTGAATCCTAAAATCGAAAATGAAGAAATCCAGAAACCGAGAAGTCGAAAATTCCAAAATTAGACCAATTAAAGAAAACTTTGAAAAATCGAAAAATCGGGAAATCGAGAAATCGAAAATCCAAAATTCAAAAAACCGAGAAATCAAAAATTCAAAATTCGAAAAATTGAAGCAAAAATTCGAAAATTGAGAAATCGAAAAACCGGAAAATCGACAAATCAAAAAATTCATGAAAAAACTTAAAAAATAGGAGATTCGAAGAATCAAAAAATCAAAAAATCGTAAAATCGCCAAACCGATGGATCTAAAAATTAAAAAAGAAAAAAAAATCGAAAAATTCAAAGTCGAGAAAACGAGAAAACATGAAATCAAAAATTCAAATTTCGAAAAATTGAAGAAAAAATTCGATAAATCTCAAAAATCAACAATCGAGATAATGAAACATTGTGAATCCAAAAATCGAAAACGGAGAAATCCAGAAACCGAGAAATCGAAAATTTGAAATATTAGATCAATTAAAGAAACCTTTGAAAAATCGAAAAATCGAGAAATCGAGAAATCAAAAATCCAAAATTCAAAAAACGAGAAATCAAAAATTCAAAATTCGAAAAATTGAAGCAAAAATTCGAAAATTGAAAAATCAACAAGGCAAAAACCTTAACATTGTAAATTACAGACCGATAGCACTTATATCGAACTATTCTAAATTATTTGAATGTATTATGTCAGACTTCCTGTATACCCACTGTATTTCAAAAATTGCCTTAGAACAGCATGGATTTATAAAAGGAAGATCCACTGTCACCAATTTATGTGAATTCACTGAATACGTATCCTTAGCTTTAGATAATCGCTTTCAAGTTGATGCCATATACACTGATTTATCCAAAGCTTTTGATAGGGTAGATCATTGCATATTGTTAAAAAAACTTGATACATTAGGAATATGTCATCAGCTGTTAATGATTTTTAGAAATCTCCTGTTTGGTAGGGAACAATTTGTTGAAATTCACGGAGTCAAGTCAACATTCTTTCCTGTGAACAGCGGAGTTACTCAAGGCTCAAACCTAGGCCCGCTGTTGTTTACTGTTTTTTTCAATGATGTCCTAAATGTTATCAGTTGTAGAGTGTTTATATATGCCGATGATTTAAAAATAGCTAAAGTAATAAAAACGAACAGAGATTGTTTAGTTTTACAAGATAATGTAGATAAATTAGCGCTGTGGTGTGAACAGAATAAGTTAAGCCTTAATAAAAAAAAATGTAGAAAAATTACATTCTCCAGGAAAGACACTAATTTTAATTTTTATTACAATATTAATGGAACTTTGCTAGAAAACTGTAATCAAATACGCGATTTAGGCATAATTGTAGACTCTGCATTGTCATTTGTTCCTCATATCATTGATATAACAAATTCAGCTATCAAAACACTTGGCTTCATCTGTAGAAATACTAAAGAATTTAATAATATTTTATGTATTAAACAGCTTTATTATAGTCTAGTTAGATCAAAATTAGAATACTGTTCTATAATTTGGAGACCTCATCACCAAATTTACATTAATATTATAGAAAACGTTAACAGGAAATTTGCTAAGTATCTGTATTTTAAAATGTTCGACTGTTATCCTGTTAGTCATTGTAACCAGAGAGCTCTTCTTAATATAGTGAATGAAAATTTTCTCGAGTATAGACGAAATATTGCTTGTTTTGTATTTTTGCAGAAATTGGTGCGTGGTGATATATTCTGTCCAGCGTTACTAAATAATATTAAGTTTTGTGTTCCTCGTTTATTGTGCAGAAATCCATCCACTTTTTACTATCAAATTCCTAATTCTTATCATCACTTTAATAGCCCCTTAATTACATGTTTTAGACTTTATAATAACTGTACTTTAGACGATAGCATTGATATTTTTCACGCTAATTTTAATAAAGCATCTTTCAAAAAAAGTTATTAGCACGATATGCACAATAATATATGTACATAATATTTGTTCTGATGTTAGATTTTTTTTTTTTAGATTTTTTTTAAATTGTAAGTTTAGTTTAAGTTGAATTTAATGTCTTTTTGTGTATACATGTCCACCATAGACTAACGTCTGTTGGAATGAATAAACCTATTATTAAGACCCACCACTGACCCGGAAATGACCGGCATTCAGGCAAGACTTCTATCATTACGGGTACTAAGACCAAGTAATGATATGCATTGATTAGTTTAACAGAACAACTTTCGAGATTCTAGAATTACAGCATACAAATTAGTCTGCTATTATTCTCTAATCTCACCCCATCCCCAAAAGTCCAGCGTAACTACCGACCATTTATCCGCGCATTATTATTATTATTATTATTATTAAAAACCAAAATATTGAGAGTTCAAAAAGGGACAATAATTGAGAAATCGAAAAACCGGAAAATCGACAAATCAAAAAATTAATGAAAAAACTTTAAAAATTGGAGGGCCGAAAAATCAAAAAATTATAAAATCCGGAAATCGATCAACCTAAAACTCAAAAATTCAAAATTCGAAAAATTGAAGAAAAAATCCGATAAATTTCAATCAACAATCGGGAAAATGAAACATTGTGAATCCAAAAATCGAAAACGGAGAAATCCAGAAACTGAGAAATCGAAAATTTGAAATATTAGGCCAATTAAAGAAAATTTTAAAATATCGAAAAATCGAAAAACCGAAAATTCAAAAAACCGAGAAATCAAAAATTCAAAATTCGAAAATTGAAGCAAAAATTCAAAAATCAACAATCCAAAAACCAAAATATTGAGAATTCATTAATCGACAATAATTGGGAAATCGAAAAACCGAGCAATCGACAAATCAAAAAATTAATGAAAAAACTTTAAAAATCGGAGGGCCGAAAAATCAAAAAATTATAAAATCCGGAAATCGATCAATCTAAAAATAAAAAATGAAAAAATTCGAAACATAGAAAGTTGAGAAAACGAGAAATCGTGAGTTCAAAATTCGAAAAATTTAGAAAAAATTCCAAAAATCTCAAAAATCAATAATCGAGAAACCGAAACATTGTGAATCTAAAAATCGAAAATTGAGAAATCCAGAAACCGAGAAATTGAACATTTTGAAATATTAGACCAATTAAAGAAAAAATCGAAAAATCGGGAAATCTAAAAATGGGAAAATCGAAAATTCGAAAAATCAACAACCGAGAAATCGAAAAACCAAAATTTCGAAAATTCAAAAATCGGAAATTGGGGAATCCAGAAATCGGGAAATTCAGAATTCGAAAAATGGAAAAATGAAAGTAAAAATTTCAAAACATCTAAAAACCGAAAATCCAAAAATCGAAATCGGGAAAATCGAAAAATCAAAAAATTCATGAAAAAACTTAAAAAATCGGAGATCCGAAAAATCAAAAATTCAGAAAATCGTAAAATCGAGAAACCGATGAATCTAAAAATTAAAAAAGAAAAAAACCGAAAAATTCAAAGTCGAGAAAAATTTTGGAAAAATTGAAGAAAAATTTCGATAATTTCGATTAATTGAGAAAAGTTGAGAAATACAAAAACCGTCAAATTGAAAATTTGAAAAATAGAATTTCTGTAAAGAAACAAGTATTTGGCAGTTAAGCTCCGCCCCTTTGGTTCACGGCGAATAAAAAAAATCATTACAATTGAGATAGGGTGGGTGGGCGGGCATACATTTTACTTTTGTATTTTAATGTGTGTAGACTTCTTGTTACAACATGAAACTTAAAGATGTTTAAAATGGAAAATTTGTATAAGGAAATATCGGTGTTGCAATTAGACTCCGCCCCATAATTGGAAAATCCTTATTTCTTTGCAAAAACCATTTTAACCATGTTTTAAGTTTCCTAAAAAGATGGCTATGTATATCAAGAAAACAAAGGAAAATATAAGCCCCGCCCACCCACCCTATCTCAATTGTGATGATTTTTTTTTATTCGTCGTAAGCCAAAGGGGCGGAGCTTAATTGTAAAATCCTTATTTTTCTACGAAAAATTACCATTTTAAACACGTTTTAAGTTTCTATGAATAAAAAAAATCTTCACAATCGAGATGGGGTGGGTGGGTGGGGTAAATATTTTTCCTTTTTTCTTATTGTACATAATATTCTTTGAACAACACGATACTCAGAAATATGTTCTGAATTTCTTGTAAAGAAATAAGTGTTTTGCAGTTAAGCTCCTCCCTCTTAGTTTACGGCGAATAAAAAAATTCGTCACAATTGAGACCGGGTGGGTGGGCGGGCTTACTTTTTGCTTTTTTGTTTTGATATGTGTCGACTTCTTTTCGCAACATGAAACTTAAAACATGTTTAAAGTGGAAAATTTGTATAAGGAAATATCGATTTTACAAAAACCATTTTAACCATGTTTTAAGTTTCCTATTACAAAAAGATTACTTGTAATCTAGTGACTTTATTAATAGGTTTCTGAGCGCTCCCTCTGTTGGTCTTAGCGTAAAATAATCATCCATTCAGTAGTTTTCATTCTTCGATAGAACTTTTTGTTGAATATCACTGGTTTCGAACAAAACATTTATTTTCAGGTTTATCGAGGCTGAGTTGTGTAACTGGGATTTTTTAAATAATTGATAAGAGACAGATGAATTACGCACTGTGGAACGAAATTAAAATTATAAACGTCAATTAAGAAAGTGATTAAATTATCTCAGCTTGAACAATTTACACATAAATAGGTAATTTAGGACATGGTTTATCGCTTTGGACGGTATGAATTAATAACCATTTCGTGCGACAAAATTGACCTTCTGACGTCAAAAAATGGACAAAAGTTTGAATTTAAAGGTACCCGGAATGTGATTGGTGCTGCACTGCACCATGTGACGTTTTAACGCAATAAAATCGAAGCACAATTTAAAAAAATTAATAACCTAATTTTTAAACTAAGCACACAGGAAACAACCTTTGTTGTGTCTATATTTACTTTGTTCTGTATTTATAGGCACTGAATTCACAAATTGGCAAAAAGTTGAATGAAAATAGGAAAATAATTAATTGAAATATTCATCAGTGTTGATTAGGCGTGCATTAATTAAAAAGGTGCAAGTCAAGGCGAATTTTGAGCGGTTTTAGTCTAATAATAGCGGTATGCATAATTGATAGTTGACACATAAATTAACTACTTACACTTCTCAAAAAAGAAACGATCTCTTTCAATTAAAGAATAATAAATAAGTAGCTAAATTTGCACCTCATTACAACAAAATAACTACTACGATTACTAATAGCAACGTCACAACCACGCTTGGACTGACTAATGTCAGTTGTTGTTATTGACACTACGGAAACGTGTAGTGTTTGTATTGTAGTTATCACCATCTGTCAACGCCGCACTGTGTTCAATGTTTGTTTATTTTAGTGTTCTGTAATCTTGTACTAGAACATTCGAACAGATGGCGGCAGGCGTCTTCATTGGTTCGAAAATACGTGTTTTGCGCCAATAAACATGAGCGAAACAATCACGTGCACTCAAGCTCCGCCTACAATATTTTAGCACAGAAAACGATTTTCACGGAAATATTTTTTTATTAATCACCATCTTATTACATTTCAGATCGCTGTTTGAACGAAAACATACACAAAACGAAACGATGAGTTATTTAAATCAGTGGATAAGCTACATCCACTGATTTAAAATGTAAAGTATGTGTGGTTCTACATATAATAAAAACTAAACGAGTTTGCTTTAAACTTTGAAAAATCAACAAAATCAACAAATTGTGTTAATGTTAACAGATCGTTATGTTTCAACAACGGCTAGTGAGTGCTATGGGGTATTACGATAAGCAAAGTCTGTAGAAATTAACTAACTCTGTACCGTTAAACGTCGTAGTCCACGTACACACTTTGTTCTTGTTAGGTATAGTAAGTAACATTTGTAGTAGTATGAAAAATATGGCCAAGGCATCTATTTAACAAGCAACTTCCATCATTAATAAACAAATCAAGAGTCTAACGGTTTTAGTAAGTACACTTTTGCAAAAATTAAATCAAAAGAAAAATATAGTACACTGCCTTTAGACATCACTTACTATTAAAGACAATAAAATTACTACTATTAACATTTACTTTATATAATATAATAATTGAACACGAATTTTATTAGCCTCTGCCCTAGGTTCTTTTTTACAAAAATATTATATTCTGTCGTTTCGAGGTCACCGTCTTAACAAATTAGAGCCTTTTGTATGTACCATTTAGAGAAAACAACGACTACAAACACATAGTAGCGAGGGAACACATATATGCTAAAACGACCAAAAAATATTTAGAAACTTTAATCACGTCAACTGCTTACTAAATTTGAAAAATGGGTTGTCGATGAACATTCTTTTCGATCCAGATATCAAATATTTATAGAAAATTTTATTTTAATGATGCGCGATCAAATTTAGAAGCAGTTCTGTAAAACAGCCACTATTATACTTGTCTGGATTAGAGTGTAATCTGAAATTATAAAACTGTAGTACCTAGCTGTAGGCTATAGTTGTAAACGCTAGATTTAGTCGAATTTCTGAACTATTCATTTTAGGCAACAGAGCTAAGTATAGTTTGTTTTCTAAGGGTTGTGCCTAACGAAGTTCTAATTAGCCAGGAAAAGATGTTTCACGTGAGACTTTAGACGCTTTTGACAAGAATTTTCAACTGTAAATTGATGTTAGTTGGCTGTGGGCGCCTGGAAAATAATAACGAACTACTGTTTGTACAGTCTTTAGATCCGATTTTTTAGTTCCATAGGTGTAGTGCCCACAAATATATTTGATCGAACGAAAATTATTGGTGCAAGTTCTTGGTGCACTTGAACGTTAGCCCTTTTATCAGTTTAGAAAACAACTAGATTAATGAATATTTCGAAGATAATTATTTGCAAATTTAGTAACTATAGTTTAAAATATCTTTTGTTTGTTATTTCTTAGTTTTGATTAAGTACAAGTGTAAAAATAAGTTGAGCAGTGTCGATTTATGATTCACCGGATTAACTAACATCCTCGTGTACCGCTTCTACCTACTACTTTATTAAAATTTTGCTACCGATTTTTAGAATACCTGTGTGTTTTGCTAAATTGACTCACAATTCAACCGCAGTATCTAAACCAAACAAAAATTTGCAAATAATTAGCACTTTATAAAATTCCAACTTAGAACTTATTCCTATCATAAGCATTCGTCCCTGTTGGCATCCTCTTCCGACTCTTCGTGTTCCTTCAACAACGGACTTCCGTCACTAATGGCCAGTTTGCTACTTCTTTGGCTCGACCCTTTTTTATGTACAGGGAAACTCGGCACGAAGTTGCTGCAAGGCGTGTTAGGAGCCGACCTCGACAGCCACCCCTTCGAGAACATCTTAGTACCTTTAGGTCTAGACCCTTCGTACAGCGGCATGTACAACGTCTTCGCCTTGGCTCTGCTGTGGAAGCAGCTCCTGCTGCTCTTGGGCTCCTGCGGCGGCATCGGACTCTTCTGCTGCGGCAGCTGCTGGATCTTATCCAGCAACTCCTTCATTTCGACCGTCGGACTCGTGGCTCTCGGGGGCGAATCCGGCGACCCCAAGTTAGCCAGACTGCTGATGTCCGACCCCGTCATGCTGTTCGTTACGCTGTACTGCAGCTCCTGGAGGTAGTGGTTCGACTGGATCGAAGTACCCAAGTTGACCACGCTGCTCGGAACGCACACCGAAAGGTTGAGAAGGTCGGAGAAGTTGTGGTCTTCGTCTTGACTCTCGGAGTCCTGACTGCGGTCTTTGGGTAGTTTTTGTGTGTGCATCGGTATTCTAGAATGGTGGTTGTGATGACTGATGAAAGTGGTACCATTGTTTAAGTATATTATAGTTGGACAACCTAATACAAATTTTTCGTCAACGCGCATTTTCACTACAGTGAGCCAACGTATTAGGTTTATTTTACTCTAAATCAGATGGCGCCATCAAACATTAGCAAAGGCAAACACCCTTCACTCTGCTCTTATACGAGGAGTTATCCATAAATCCATAATTAACATTGTTCCGTAAACAGTAATGTGTATAAACATATATGTACAAAATATGAAAATATACTTGACATAAAAAATATGAAGCAACGCGTTGTAACGTGATAAGAAAGAATTGAATTTAAATGAATTTGACGCATATTTTTATTTGAAGACTGACAGAAACTTTCCAAGGGTTTTTAAACTGGTATAATTGTTTAGTTTTACAAGATTAAAGTAAAACAAGATTTTAAGTAAAATTTAGATTCGTGGTGTTACAAAAATATTAACACAAAATGAAAATATATGTTCAAAGTAAATAACAGAATGACATAAACTTTCGGCGTTAACATTACAAATAATTACAAGAGAGAAAAAAACGCATAAAGAACTTAAGAGGCATGTTTGTAATATCGAGTTGTTAAAGGCTGCTTTGAAGACTGTTTGTTTCTATGAAAAACAATTGCTGTTATCGGACATTTTGGTAGATTTTGTTTCAAAAATATGAGATAACGAATTGTTTCTTGAACTAGTTTCCGATTAGATTAGATTACGATTTTTCAATTTTGCTTTTTTAGATTTTCGATTTCTCAATTTTCCAATTTTTTAATTTCTCAATTTTTTGAATATTTCTTTCAGTTATGAGATTTTTCAATATTTCAATTTTTCGACTTTTCGATTTTTGAATTGATGGATTTTTTTTGATTTCTCGCCTTTTTCCTTTTTGGATTTTCAATTTATTGTAAACTTTAGATTTTTCAATTCTGGGACTGTTTAATGCTTCGATTTCTCAATTTTTAAACTTTTCGATGTTTTAATATTTCATTTTTTAAAATTCTAGGTTTTTCGATATCTCGAGTTTTCAGTTCTTCTATATTTCAATTTTTCAATTTTTCGATTTTTTTAATTTTAATTTTTGATTTTCCAGTTTTTCTTTTCTAAAATTTTTCGATTATTCAATTTTTTAATTTCTCAATTTATCGAATTCAGATGTTTCGTTGTTTTGATTGTTCAATTTCTCAATTTTTCAATTTTTAACTTTCCTTTTCGGCTTCCGACTCCTCAATTTCTCGATCCTCCGATTTTTCGATTTCTCGAAGTCTCAGCTTTTGAATTTTTCGATGTTTCGATTTTTGGATTTCTCGGTTTTTCGATTTTTTTCTTTTGAGCTTTTCAATTTCTGGATTTTCCAATTTTTCAATGCCCCGATTTTTCAATTTTTCAAATTGAATTGGATCTCTCGATTCTTCAATTTTGCGATATTTTAATTATTCATTGTTTTAAATTTTAGTTTTTTCGATTTCTCGATTTTTTGACTTTTCAGTTCTTCAGTATTTAAATTTTTTAATGTTTCAATTTTTTGCGTTAAATTTTCAGTTTTTTGATTTCTCAATTAATCTATTTTTGATTTTCCCACTTCTCAAAGTTTCGATTTTTCAGTTCTTCAATTCTTCGATTTTTCGACTTCGCTTTATTGGTTTGTCGATTTCTCAATTTTTGATATTTCTTTCAGGTTTGATATTTTTCAATACTTCAATTCTTTCATTTTTCGACTTCTAGATTTTTCTTTTTTTATTTTTGGATTTTCAGTTTTTTTTTTTATTTCAATTTCTCAATTTTTCAACTTCTTCATATTTTAATTTTTAAATTTCTAGATCTTTCAGTTTCCCAAGTTTCCAGTTCTATATTTTAATTTTTTAAATTTACGAATGTTTAAAATTTTTGAGATCTCAATTCATTGAGATTCGGATGTTTCGATATTTTGATTATTCAATCTCTCGCTTTATCAATTTTTCCATATGTAAGTTTTCGATTTTTCGATTTTGGCCTACTTCGGTTTCTCAATTTTTTGATTTTTCGACTTCTCGATTTTTCGACTCCTCGATTTTTTTTGTCTTTTGATTTTTCGATTTCTCGATGTCTCAATTTTTGAATTTTACAATGTTTCGATTTTTCGATTTGTTGGTTTTTCGATTTTTTGCTTTTCGGTTTCTCGATTTTTCGATGTTTCGACTTTTGATTTATCCGATTTTTCAATTGTCCAATTTTTTAAATTCTCGACTTCTCGATTCGTTGATTTTTCAGTTTTTCGATTATTAAATTTTAGATTTTTATTTTTTTTTTATTTTTTGATGTTTGGATTTCTCCATTCTTCAGTTTTAGGATATTTTAACTTTTCAATGTTTTAAATTTTAGATTTTTCGATTTTTTAGTTCTTCAATATTTTTTTATTTTTCAAATTTTGACGTTTCTGAATTTTTAGTTTTCGGATTTCTCAATTAATCTATTTTTTTATGTTCCCATTTCTCCACTTCCTAAAGTTTCGATTTTTCAGTTCTTCGGTTCTTCAATTTTTCGATTATTCAGGTTTTTGATTTTTCAATTTTCGGAATTTTTAAATTTTCGATTGTCCAATTTTTTTTTATTTTTCGATTTTCTAATTTTTCGATGTTTCGGATTTTTTAATTTGCCATTCTTTCAATTTTCGATTTTTCGTCTTTCCATTTTTAGATTTTTTGATTTTTCTGTTCGTCAGTTTTTAGACTTTGCAATTTTTTTGCATTTTTCGATTATATTTTACTTTCCGAATTTTTTGATTTTTGAATTCTCGATTTTACGTTTTTAATTCTTCGATTTCCGATTTTTCAATTTTCCGGTTTTTTAATTATTCTATTCTCGATTTTTCGTTTTTCCATTAATCATAAAATTTTTCGATTTTTCCGTTGTTTTGTTTTTCGACCTACGATTTTTCAACTTTCGATTATTCGATTTTCCATTTTCTGATTTTACGATTTTTCGATTTTCGTTCTTCCGCTTTTGTGGTTTTTCGATTTTTCTGTTTGTTTCAGTTTTTATGGTTCTGCAATTTGCAGCTTTTAGATTTCAATTTTGTTACTTTCCGATTTTCCACTTTTCGATTTTTTGATTTTTTTTCGATCGTCGTTTTTTGGATTTTCATTTTTTCGATTTTTTGATTTTTCAATTTTTAGGCCTTGCAATTTTTTTACTTTTCGCTTTTTCGAGTATTTGTTTCATCGAATTTTCGATTTTCGATTTTTCGGTTTTTTCATTTTCCGATTTTCGATTTTTCGGTTTTCCATGTTTAGATATTTTTCGGTTTTTTTTTATTTTTCGATTGTTCTGTTCGTCAGTTTTGAGACTTTGCAATTTTTACTTTTCCACGTTTCTATTATTTTAGTTTCGGATTATTCGATTTTTGAATTTTCGTTTTTTTTTTCATTTTTCGATTTCCGATTTTTTAATTTTTCGATTTTTCAGTTTCCAGTTTTCGATTTTCCACTTTTTGATTTTACGATTTTTCGATTTTTCTGTTCGTCAGTTTTTAGGCTTTGCAATTTGTTTACTTTTCGATTTTTCGATTATTTTTTTCCAGTTTTTTGATTTTTGAATTGTCGACTTTTAGAGTTGTCAATATTATGAATTTTCGAATTTTCGGTTTTACTATTTTTCGATTTTTGATTTTTCCATTTTTCGGTTTTTTGATTTTTCAATTCTCGGTTTTTCAATCTTGCAAATTTTCGATTTTTCAGATTTGTGAATTTCCAGTTTTTCGATCGACCTACGTATTAGATTCATTGAATTTTCGATTTTCGGTTTTTCCATTTTTAGATTTTTGATTTTCCAGTTTTGTATTTTCAGATTTTCTGTTTTTCGCATATCTGATTTATCAAATTTTCGATTTTTCGGCTTTTCGATTTTTCGATATTTGATTTTCGAATTTTCGATTGTTCAGTTTTCCATTTTTCAGCTTTTAGACTTCAATTTTTTTACTTTTCCATTTTCCAAATTTTCGAGTTTCAATTTTCAGATTTTTGATTTTTCGATTTTCTTTTTAAATCTTTGAATTTTTCGGTTGTGATTTTTCGAATTTTTGATTTTTAATTTTTCCATTCTTCGGTTTTTAGACTTCAATTTTCTTTCTTTTAAATTTTTCGATATTCTATTTTCCGCTTTTCAGAATTTTCGATTTTCAGTTTTCAGACTTTCGATGATTAGAATTTTGGATTTTTTAGTTTCATGATTTTTCGATTTTTAGAAAATTTGAGTAGTCGAATTTTCGATTTTTCAATTCATCGATTTTTCCATGTTCAATTTTTCAATTTAAATTTTGCGATTTTCAATTTGTCCATTGTCGATTTTTAGAATTTTCGGTTTTTCAATTTTTCCATTCTCAACTGTTAGACTTCAATTTTGTTACTTTCCGATTTTTTGGTTTTCGATTTTGGATTTTTCGAATTTTTGTTTTTCCAATTTTTTGCTTTTTCGATTTTTCTGTTCATTTCAGTTTTTAGGCTTTGAAATTTTTTTTACTTTATATATTTTGATTATTTTCATTTCCGATTTTTTTAATATTACAAATTTTTGACTTTTCGATTGTCTGGTTTTCCCGTTTTTCAATTCTCGATTTTTCGATTTTTGAGGTTTGTGAATTTTGCACTTTTCGATCGACCTAGGTATTTGATTTCATTCAATTTTCGATTTTTTGATTAGCCATTTTTAGATTTTCGATTTTTACGATTTGTATTTTTCGATTTTCTGTTTTTTGCATTAGTGAATTTCAGTTTTTCCGATTTTTGATTTTGCGCATATTTGATTAATCAAATATTGTTGCTTACAAAAACTTCAAAACATCTACAATATTTCAGAGTATTCAGTTTTGCTATTCTTGATTTTTTTTTTTAATAATAATAGTGCTTTATTACGCCGAAAGATGTAAAGGCATTACATAAAGTACATAACAAAATATTAACATAACAATTCATATTAACATAATAGTAACAATTTGCGACATTCTTTCTTGAAGGCGTTGAGGGAGATACCAAAAAACTCTAAAGTGTTGCATTCGTTAGCAATCATCAAAACGCTATTTAGAGGCGAATGTAATGCATAATTCGTTTTATGAACTGGTATAAAAAACAGCCTAGGCGTACGAACCTTACGGATTGACACATTAAGACCTACCAACGCTAGCAATATGGGGGCTTCAATTAAACCATTTAATAATTTAAAAAGAAAACATAGTTTGTGATACTTACGACGATTTTCTAGTGTATGTACTGACAGATAAGATGCAACAAGGTCTGTATCTGCTAACACAATACCATCACCACACAACTTATATTTGACATATTTTAAAAGTTTGACTTGGACAGCTTCAATTCGGCTTATGTGAGTGATATAAAACGGTGACCAGTTGACACAATTGAATTCCAATATCGATCGGACTAACGAATAGTATAATATCAGAATGGTTCTGATGTTACTGAAGTTCACCGTCCACCGCTTTAAACACCCCAAAAGTTTTCTACCTCTAGAAACAACATATTCACAGTGACTGACGAAAGATAATTTAGTGTCTAAATAGATACCCAAATCCTTGGCATTGCTAACTATGTCTAGGGGCGTATTTTCTAGTAGGTACAATGGAACTGAGGGACGACTTTTGCGACTAAAGCACATTGCTTTGCATTTTTTAATGTTAAGAGACATATGATTGAGTTTACACCAATCGTTAAGACATATAAGATCATTTGTCAAAGTATTTATGTCATACATGGAATCAATCTTCTTATATAACTTCTTCAATAAAATAAATTACTTATCAGTATGTAGGCATTTTAACGCACAGCAATAATCGTTCTTGATGAGTAATGACCGATGACTACTGTACCACAGTAAATCCTCGAAATCTAAAATTTAAAACACTGAAAAATTCAAATATAGGAAAATTGTAAAATCGAGAAATCGAAACTTAAAAAAATCAAAAAAATTAAAATTGGAAAATCTAAAATTTAAAAATCGAGAAATTGAACAATCGGTTAATTCAAAAATCAAAACATCGAAAAATTGGAAAATCGAAAAATAAAAAAAATTGGACAATCGAAAATTTAAAAATTCCGAAAATTGAAAAATTGAAATATAGAGAACTGAAAACTCAAAAAATCGAAAAAAATTAATGATTTCAAAAATTGAAAAGTTAAAATTTAGAAATCGAAAAACTGAAAAATCGCAAAATTGAACGAAATATCAAAAAATTAGGAAATTAAAAAATTGAGAAACAAAAAAGTCAAAAAAGCAGAGTCTAAAAATCGCAAACTTAAAAAATCGAAAAATTGAAAAATCAAAAACCTGAATAATCGAAAAATTGAAGAACTGAAGAACTGAAAAATCGAAACTATAGGAAGTGGAGAAATGGGAATATAAAAAAATAGATTAATTGAGAAATCCGAAAACAAAAAATTCAGAAACGTCAAAATTTGAAAAATAAAAAAATATTGAAGAACTAAAAAATCGAAAAATCTAAAATTTAAAACATTGAAAAGTTAAAATATTCTAAAGCTGAAAAATGGAGAAATCCAAACATCAAAAAATAAAAAAAAAAAAATAAAAATCTAGAATTTAATAATAGAAAAACTGAAAAATCAACGAATCGAGAAGTCGAGAATTTAAAAAATTGGACAATTGAAAAATTGGATAAATCAAAAATCGAAACATCGAAAAATCGAGAAACCGAAAAGCAAAAAATCGAAAAACCGACAAATCGAAAAATCGAAACATTGTAAAATTCAAAAATTGAGACATCGAGAAATCGAAAAATCAAAAGGCAAAAAAAATCGAGGAGTCGAAAAATCGAGAAGTCAAAAAATCAAAAAATTGAGAAACCGAAGTAGGCCAAAATCGAAAAATCGAAACTTAAATATGGAAAAATTGATAAAGCGAGAGATTGAATAATCAAAACATCGAAACATACTAATCTCAATGAATTGAGATCTCAAAAAATTTAAACATTCGTAAATTTAAAAAATTAAAATATAGAACTGGAAACTCGAGAAACTGAAAAATCTTGAAATTTAAAAATTAAAATATGAAAAAGTTGAAAAATTGAGAAATTGAAATACAAAACAAAAAACTGAAAATCCAAAAATAAAAAATAGAAAAATCTAGAAGTCGAAAAATGAAAGAATCGAGGTATTGAAAAATATCAAAACTGAAAGAAATATCCAAAAATTGGGAAATCGACAAACCAATAAAGCAAAGTCGAAAAATCGAAGAATTGAAGAACTGAAAAATCGAAACTTTGAGAAGTGGGAAAATCAAAAATAGATTAATTGAGAAATCAGAAAACTGAAAATTTAACGCAAAAATTTGAAAAATTCAAAAATTTAAATAATGAAGAACTGAAAAGTCAAAAAATCGAGAAATTGAAAAAACTAAAATTTAAAACAATGAATAATTAAAATATCGCAAAATTGAAGAATCGAGAGATCCAATTCAATTTGAAAAATTGAAAAATCGGGGCATTGAAAAATTGGAAAATCCACAAATTGAAAAGCTCAAAAGAAAAAAATCGAAAAACCGAGAAATCCAAAAATCGAAACATCGAAAAATTCAAAAACTGAGACTTCGAGAAATCGAAAAATCGGAGGATCGAGAAATCGAGGAGTCGGAAGCCGAAAAGGAAAGTTAAAAATTGAAAAATTGAGAAATTGAACAATCAAAACAACGAACATCTGAATTCGATAAATTGAGAAATTAAAAAATTGAATAATCGAAAAATTTTAAAAAAGAAAAACTGGAAAATCAAAAATTAAAATTCAAAAAATTGAAAAATTGAAACATAGAAGAACTGAAAACTCGAGATATCGAAAAACCTAGAATTTTAAAAAATGAAATATTAAAACATCGAAAAGTTTAAAAATTGAGAAATCGAAGCATTAAACAGTCCCAGAATTGAAAAATCTAAAGTTTACAATAAATGGAAAATCCAAAAAGGAAAAAAGCGAGAAATCAAAAAAATCCATCAATTCAAAAATCGAAAAGTCGAAAAATTGAAATATGAAAAATCTCATAACTGAAAGAAATATTAAAAAAATTGAGAAATTAAAAAATTGGAAAATTGAGAAATCGAAAATCTAAAAAAGCAAAATTGAAAAATCGTACTCTTAAAAAATCGAAAAATTGAGGAATTGAAGATGTGAAAAATCGAAACTTTAGGAAATCCAGAAATGGATAAATAAAAAAAATACTTTAGAAATCGGCAAACTGAAAATTTAGAAACGTGAAAATTAGAAAAATTGAAAAATCGAAATATTTAAAAACCGTAAAATTGAAGAGGACAAAAATTGAGAAATCGTATCATTGAAACATCGTAAGATTGAGAAATCGAAAAATAAAAAAATCGAGAAATAGAAAATTTAAGGAATGGAGGAATCGGAAAAGCCCAAAATTGAAATATTGAAAAATTGAGACATTTAAAGTTGAAAAATCGAGAAATCGACAAGCCGAAAAATCCCAATAGCGTATTTAGGTATAAATCACAAGATCATGACCATTCTACTTTTTTAAATTTAAATACATAACATAAATTGGAAAATGTTGATTTTTTTTTCCAAAAATCTTGACGTCTAAGGTGAAAACTCGACACGGATGCATGAACCGTAAACGGGGCGAAACTACAATTTTACTATTGTAAAATTTGGAGATTGCGTCATTTCATTATTCGTGACAAATTTTGGAGAGTGTAATTTGATAATTCAATTTGAAATGTAAATTTTGTCATTCGGGAACATTATGTATTAAATCGTTAAGATGTTCAAGAACTTTGTTCACTTATTCGTTGTAAAGTCCAATGGTCGAAACGGGTTAGTTCTTCGTAGTGGATGTGTATCACATCAACTCTAACGAATATCGGTTTATAGATAAATCGCTTAAAGCCGGTATTGGCCTGAGTGTGCTTTGGTCTGTAGATCAAACAAGTTCTCAGGCGACGAAAAATTTGTATTAGGTTGTCCAACTATAATATACTTAAACAATGGTGGTACTAAGGTACTTACTTAATTTTCTTATAGGGCGAAGCATCACAGTTACTTTGGCTTTTGCTTTCTACTCTATCTGTCGCTAACTGCTCTACTGGATTTGGCAACGTCGTAGTGTCGCTTACGTTAGTATTTACAATATTCGTTGCATTCTGACCAAAGCAAGGGTTGTCTCTGATTGAAATCTGCCGATTGTGGGAGGGGGTGGTTAAAGCGGACGGGGTATTCGTGGTGCTTAAGTGGGATTGAGCACTAGGACTAGTGGGCTGGTAGAAGTCGCCACCGGAAAGCAGGGACGCCGAACGAGGCAGCTGAGGTTCTTCTGGAGCTTGGGTGATTTGTTCCTCGGTGGTTACCTCTTCCAAACTGCCCATGCAAGAGTACGGAGGAGGGATTATCGTGTTGGCCTCGTTAGCGGCGTTACATATAAAACTCGAACTGAGCGAATCTATTGTGCTAGTAGCGGATAGCGATCCTACAAAAACGACAATTCAATAAAGCGCTAACCACCTTCTTCAACCACAAACCGACAGGCCGTACTATAAAATTACGAAAATATTGCACCATTAAGTACCCGGTGGAGCTGTTGTTGTTCTTAATTATGGGATCGCCGTTGTAACTAATCACTAGAGGGTATAAATCAGGCTTTGAAGTCACCTTAAAGCAAGAAAATCACCCACTTGCGACAAAAGTCTAGGTCGTACCTCAGAGTAAGGTGGAGGCGGCTGATGAAAGCTATTACATCTACTATACTGAGGAGGTGCGTAGCAAGATCCGTTCGAATCGGGCTCGGAAGCTCGTTCGTCTCTGCTGGAGTCGCGGCAGCACAGACTCCCGTGACTGTGGCGGCGCCAGAGGGAACAGGCACACAAGATCCCAGCAACCGTGGCCATCACCGCCACCCAGAAGTACCTACAACGCGCGCTAGTGTATTCTGGGTTGCCTAGTTCTAGCTCACCAGTGTCCCAGGAACAGCGGAGTGAAGAAATTACTGGCAGGTACAGCAGAGGGTCGTTGCAAAGTATTGGTCAGAAGGAAGCAGCACCCTTGCTTGCAACAATCTTTAGGCGGGGAACACGTGTAGTGACCTCCATCGCAGTTTTTTCCTACAAGTTGCTGAAAATACAAGACAAAGTTTCACCGAGTGCTTTCGTTAAGTAATTGGGGTGTTTGTAGTTGGAACAAGTTCTTCAGAGTAATTACGTTAATTAATACTGACGTCAATAATAAAGCACAAAGCTATCGATCGTCTTCGTGTTTTTTTCGATCATTAAAAAAAACATCTCGTTATCTTAATTAGTCGCTTACAGTAGTCATAAGTACGGGAAGAATAGTATAGTTGCCAAACGCACAGGACAGGAATGTCGCATTGCACTTTCCTCGGCGATTTTCCAGCCCAGAAGCCAGAAGGAATGGAAGACAATTAACTGGAACAAAGCCAAACTTAATTAAAATTGCAACGATGAAAAAGTGCCGCGTTAATATTATTTTATTCAAACAAATACGCTTTGTCGTATTTCTTATTCATGTAATTTTATTAAAGAAGCCTATCGCATATGCTTTTATTGCGCTTCGCCGAAATGAAGGATGAAACGAGAATATAGAAAAGCTGTGTACTTTGGTGGGACAGAGAAAACAGGCGGCGATCGCCGGCGCCACGACGCTGGGACGTTGGCGTCGCAATTCTCCCGAGCTTTCGGGAAAATAACGCGACGTCCCTGGAAATCAGCAAGATCTCCATTATCTTTCAGGCAGATGGTGTAAGCTCCGATGACATGACAAGTGATGTCTAATTTGAGGCGGGGGCGGCGCTTTCGTAAACAACTCACTTTTAAGTTGTTTGTTGATAACACTTGTAAGATTAGCGATTAAAAAACCCACAGTGATACTAAAAAAAATTTATGGAGGATTAATTTGAACTAATTGGGAAATAAAGCGATGATTGCTGGGGATTTTCGGATCAGAATTTGCGATTTAATAAGTAATTTGGAGTTTTAAGCCAGGAATTTCACCGAAAAAAGCGAAAAAGTCGACGCAGTTCATTATTAAACAATAACTTGTTGACAAATTAAAATCAATAAAGAAAAAATTGTCAGTGTTATCGCAATCGCGATTTAATAATAATTTGTTTATAAAAAACTGTGCTAAAAATACTTACGTCTTAGTGTAGTTAAATTTTGATTCACAGGTTTGATTTTTCCTCACAATTCGCTTTAAACTCGATTACGTAAACACAAGAAGATAAACGATTTAAAACAAACGATAAGATAAAACAACAACAAGAAATAAAAATTTAATCTGATGCAACACTAACGAAAAATTGCAAACTTAAATTATTCACTACCATTGAGAAAATGACCCAAAAATCTATCGATTTTTTATGGGGTAAACCGCTTAACCCAGTTTGCGTGCCCCAGTCGCACACTACCCCAGAACGAACTGCCACAAATGCGAAAAAATCGTCGAAAATCTGGCACGATTTTGCAAATCGGGCACAAGAAACACAAAAAAAAAAAATAAAAATTGGTGTTTGCAAAAATAGGACTCACCTTGATTTGGGTTAGCGAGTAGAGAATTTGGCTGTTTTGATTATAACTGCGACCCTATTTTTGCATTTTACGACCTACTGACAACGTGAATTTCGCCATTCATCCGAAACTGATTTGTTTCGGCGACGCCATTGTGGAGGGGTGACTAACTGGCAGCGCCGCGACGCTCTGCAGTGGCGTCTCCTCGTAATCCCTCACTGGGTGTTTATGAGAAGAAAATTTTTATTTATATCCGGCGGACGCGAACTGATGAATATTGATGAGGCGCCTTCAGACAAACAAAACTAAATCCGCTTTAATCGATTTTGCAACTGCACCACACCGTTTAAAAAAAATACAACTAATATAGTGCAATTTTTCAAGGGTTGTTTGTGTTTGGTGATTTTTGAAGGTTTAAATTTGATTTTGGCGCGAAGTGGTGGGGCGTGTCGATTTGTGTCAGTGCAGCCAACCAAAACCAAAATCGCCTGTCAGTTTAGCGTTGCCAACCGTTCCTAACCTCTCGTTTCATAAAAAAAAGTGAAAAAATTGTTGCAGAAAAACCGTATTGCTCGTACACGATGACTTCAGCGCAAAAGGCTATTAAAAAGGTGTTTTTGGACAGTGATGTGTTTACGGCATGTCTCCACCACTGTCTCACGTCTGAAAAGGAAGAGGTTTTGGGGCTGCTCATCGGAAAGGTAGTTTTCGCTTTGATTGAACTTTATTTAACTATTGTTCGACAGGTGGACGAAGCGAGCTTTTGTCACGTATTGGCTTCCATAGTTATGCACCGGAGCGACAAGCAGCCTGACCGGGTTGAAATATCTGCGCCACAATTGTGCATTGCCACCGCATACGCAGATAAGTTGAGTGTGGTCTTAGGCGAGTCGGTGAGAGTGATTGGGTGGTACCATTCCCATCCGCACATCACTGTGTGGCCGAGCCATGTCGATGTGAACACACAATTTACCTATCAGATGTTGGATTCATTCGTGGGGTTAATATTCGCAGTATATCAAAATGACCCCGGTTCCGCGGGGAATACAGTCCAACTGACCTGTTTCCAATCGGTTGAAGACCCCACACACCCCGGACGCGTGGTGAGGAAAGACATAGAGTTACAAATTGTAAACAAACCGATGAAGCTGTTTAACTTGAAAGGTAAGACTTCCGTGTGGCTAAATCCAGTTTTAACGTAATTTTGAAGCTATCGTGGATTTGCCGACAATATTGTCGCAAGAAGAGACCCACCCGGAAAGACCCGACCAGGCGGATGTCAACGATCCTTTGACATTTCTGTTCAATGAAGCCCTAGAGACGCTCACTTTAGTCCATATAGCGTCAAGAGTGGCAATGCCGCTTCTAGAGGGTCTCGAAGCGAGATTGCAATCAGCTAAAGCGCGCCTTGCGGAATTAGAGAGATCTCTACCACCGTCGCGTCCCCCTCCACAATAATTCAAACTGTACCATTTTCATTATACATATTCTTACAAATTACCATTGTTTAAGTATATTATAGTTGGACAACCTATACGGACAATCACTTTCCCATGTAGAAAAGAATGAATATATATTTTACATCTCGCTCGCTTCACTATGAAGTGGCGGTACCTTGCGAAAGGGGGTAAAAATAGTCCGTAAGCACGTGATGTCGATAAGGTAGTAAACGGACGTATTAATCAGTACGTTGTACGGGGAGCAGTCACAAAATAAGCAAACGTACGTGTTGAAGACTTTACATATATATAATATATCTATGGGTTATCATCAAACTATGAACACCAAATTCATTCAATATGAACATCTTCTTACGTATTTTTTTTATTAACAGTAGTCAAATCATTAAATACATATTATTTTTGAAACTAAAATGCATTTTATCCTAAGATTGTATCACAAAATATTCATCACCATTTAAATATATACGATTTAGACATCAAGAAATAAATTTAAAATTGCAAAAATTATACTAAAACAGCCTTAAATGTGTCTTGTATGTACGTGCTTATCAGTATGTAGGCATTTTAACGCACAGCAATAATAGTTCTTGATGAGTAATGACTAATGACTACTGTAACACAGTAAATCCTCGAAATCGAAAATTTAAAACACTGAAAAATTCAAATATGGGAAAATTGTAAAATCGAGAAATCGAAACATAAAAAAATCAAAAAAATTAAAATTGGAAAATCTAAAATTTAAAAATCGAGAAATTGAACAATCGGTTAATTCAAAAATCGAAACATCGAAAAATTGGAAAATCGAAAAATAAAAAAAAATTGGACAATCGAAAATTTAAAAATTCCGAAAATTGAAAAATTGAAATATGGAGAACTGAAAACTCAAAAAATCGAAAAAAATTAATAATTTAAAAATTGAAAAGTTCAAATTGAGAAAACGAAAAACTGAAAAATCACAAAATTGAACGAAATATCAAGAAATTAGGCAATTAAAAAATTGAGAAACAGAAAAGTCAAAAAAGCAGTGTCTAAAAATCGCAAACTTAAAAAATCGAAAAATTGAAAAATCAAAATCCTGAATAACCGAAAAATTGAAGAACTGAAGAACTGAAAAATCGAAACTTTAGGAAGTGGAGAAATCGGAATATAAAAAAATAGATTAATTGAGAAATCCGAAAACTAAAAATTCAGAAACGTCAAAATTTGAAAAATAAAAAAATATTGAAGAACTAAAAAATCGAAAAATCTAAAATTTAAAACATTGAAAAGTTAAAATATACTAAAACTGAAAAATGGAGAAATCCAAACATCAAAAAATCAAAAATAAAAATAAAAATCTAAAATTTAATAATCGAAAAACTGAAAAATCAACGAATCGAGAAGTCGAGAATTTAAAAAATTGGACAATTGAAAAATCGGATAAATCAAAAATCGAAACATCGAAAAATCGAAAAACCGAAAAGCAAAAAATCGAAAAACCAACAAATCGAAAAATCGAAACATTGTAAAATTCAAAAATTGAGACATCGAGAAATCGAAAAATCAAAAGACAAAAAAAATCGAGGAGTCGAAAAATCGAGAAGTCGAAAAATCAAAAAATTGAGAAACCGAAGTAGGCCAAAATCGAAAAATCGAACACTTAAATATGAATTGAGATCTCAAAGAATTTAAACATTCGTAAATTTAAAAAATTAAAATATAGAACTGGAAACTCGAGAAACCGAAAAATCTAGAAATTTAAAAATTAAAATATGAAAAAGTTGAAAAATTGAGAAATTGAAATAAAAAACAAAAAACTGAAAATCCAAAAATAAAAAATAGAAAAATCTAGAAGTCGAAAAATGAAAGAATCGAAGTATTGAAAAATATCAAAACTGAAAGAAATATCCAAAAATTGAGAAATCGACAAACCAATAAAGCGAAGTCGAAAAATCGAAGAATTGAAGAGCTGAAAAATCGAAACTTTGAGAAGTGGGAAAATCAAAAATAGATTAATTGAGAAATCAGAACACTGAAAATTTAACGCAAAAATTTGAAAAATTCAAAAATTTAAATACTGAAGAACTGAAAAGTCAAAAAATCGAGAAATCTAAAAAACTAAAATTTAAAACAATGAATAATTAAAATATCGCAAAATTGAAGAATCGAGAGATCCAATTCAATTTGAAAAATTGAAAAATCGGGGCATCGAAAAATTGGAAAATCCAGAAATTGAAAAGCTCAAAAGAAAAAAATCGAAAAACCGAGAAATCCAAAAATCGAAACATCGAAAAATTCAAAGACTGAGACTTCGAGAAATCGAAAAATCGGAGGATCGAGAAATTGAGGAGTAGGAAGCCGAAAAGGAAAGTCAAAAATTGAAAAACTGAGAAATTGAACAATCAAAACAACGAAACATCTCACTTCGATAAATTGAGAAATTAAAAAATTGAATAGGTAATCGAAAAATTTTAAAAAAGAAAAACTGGAAAATCAAAAATTAAAATTCAAAAAATCGAAAAATTGAAATATAGAAGAACTGAAAACTGGAGATATCGAAAAACCTAGAATTTTAAAAAATGAAATATTAAAACATTGAAAAGTTTAAAAATTGAGAAATCGAAGCATTAAACAGTCCCAGAATTGAAAAATCTAAAGTTTACAATAAATTGAAAATCCAAAATGAAAAAAAGCGAGAAATCAAAAAAAATCCATCAATTCAAAAATCGAAAAGTCGAAAAATTGAAATATTGAAAAATCTCATAACTGAAAGAAATATTCAAAAAATTGAGAAATTAAAAAATTGGAAAATTGAGAAATCGAAAATATATATAAAGCAAAATTGAAAAATCGTAATCTTAAAAAATCGAAAAATTGAGGAACTGAAGATGTGAAAAATCGAAACTTTAGGAAATCCAGAAATGGAAAAATAAAAAAATATTGAAGAACTAAAAAATCGAAAAATCTAAAATTTAAAACATTGAAAAGTTAAAATATCCTAAAACTGAAAAATGGAGAAATCCAAACATCAAAAAATCAAAAAAAAATAAAAATAAAAATCTAAAATTTAATAATCGAAAAACTGAAAAATCAACGAATCGAGAAGTCGAGAATTTAAAAAACTGGACAATTGAAAAATCGGATAAATCAAAAATCGAAACATCGAAAAATCGAGAAACCGAAAAGCAAAAAGTCGAAAAACCAACAAATCGAAAAATCGAAACATTGTAAAATTCAAAAATTGAGACATCAAGAAATCGAAAAATCAAAAGACAAAAAAATCGAGGAGTCGAAAAATCGAGAAGTCGAAAAATCAAAAAATTGAGAAACCGAAGTAGGCCAAAATCGAAAAATCGAAAACTTAAATATGGAAAAATTGATAAAGCGACAGATTGAATAATCAAAACATCGAAACATCCGAATCTCAATGAATTGAGATCTCAAAAAATTTGAACATTCGGAAATTTAAAAAATTAAAATATAGAACTGGAAACTGGAGAAACCGAAAAATCTAGAAATTTAAAAATTAAAATATGAAAAAATTGAAAAATTTAGAAATTGAAATAAAAAACAAAAAACTGAAAATCCAAAAATAAAAAATAGAAAAATCTAGAAGTCGAAAAATGAAAGAATCGAAGTATTGAAAAATATCAAAACTGAAAGAAATATCCAAAAATTGAGAAATCGACAAACCAATAAAGCGAAGTCGAAAAATCGAAGAATTGAAGAACTGAAAAATCGAAACTTTGAGAAGTGGGAAAATCAAAAATAGATTAATTGAGAAATCAGAAAACTGAAAATTTAACGCAAAAATTTGAAAAATTCAAAAATTTAAATACTGAAGAACTGAAAAGTCAAAAAATCGAGAAATCGAAAAAACTAAAATTTAAAACAATGAATAATTAAAATATCGCAAAATTGAAGAAACGAGAGATCCAATTCAATTTGGAAAATTGAAAAATCGGGGCATTGAAAAATTGGAAAATCCAGAATTTGAAAAGCTCAAAAGAAAAAAAATCGAAAAACCGAGAAATCCAAAAATCGAAACAATTAAAAATTCAAAAACTGAAACTTCGAAAAATCGGAGGATCGAGAAATTGAGGACTTGGAAGCCGAAAAGGAAAGTTAAAAATTGAAAAATTGAGAAATTGAACAATCAAAACAACGAAACATCTGAATTCGATAAATTGAGTAATATCAAATGATATCAAGTCCCCAAAATTACACAGGGAAAAGTAAACGCGAGAGCAAAATCCAAATACGTCTTTATTCCTCAAGAAGAAAGAACAGACTGCCCCCTTCACTGCTTCCCTTGCATCTTATCTAATGTTTATATTAACCGACGATAATCAACCCTCAGACGGCTGGAATTTCGGCTGGCGCGACATCATATCGGAGCACCAGCGAGGTCCCGTTGCTAACATGAGAAATTAAAAAATTGAATAATCGAAAAATTTTAAAAAAGAAAAACTGGAAAATCAAAAATTAAAATTCAAAAAATCGAAAAATTGAAAAATTGAAATATAGAAGAACTGAAAACTCGAGATATCGAAAAACCTAGAATTTTAAAAAATGAAATATTAAAACATCGAAAAGTTTAAAAATTGAGAAATCGAAGCATTAAACAGTCCCAGAATTGAAAAATCTAAAGTTTACAATAAATTGAAAATCCAAAAAGAAAAAAAGGGAGAAATCAAAAAAATTCCATCAATTCAAAAATCGAAAAGTCGAAAAATTGAAATATTGAAAAATCTCATAACTGAAAGAAATATTCAAAAAATTGAGAAATTAAAAAATTGGAAAATTGAGAAATCGAAAATATAAAAAAGCAAAATTGAAAAATCGTAATCTTAAAAAATCGAAACATTGAGGAATTGAAGATGTGAAAAATCGAAACTTTAGGAAATCCAGAAATGGACAAATAAAAAAAATACTTTAGAAATCGGCAAACTGAAAATTTAGAAACGTGAAAATTTGAAAAATTGAAAAATCGAAATATTTAAAAACCGTAAAATTGAAGAGGACAAAAATTGAGAAATCGTATCATTGAAACAT